AAAACAAATTATATTCCTTCTTACCTACTTTGTACATAATGAGATTTAGTTCTTCCCTCACCATTGCTCATTAGAAAATGTGTATGTCATCCTGTGTTTCAGTACTGACATTTCATAAGATCTCTCTGTAATACGATATGTGACCATCGTGGATAGTCATGAATGTAATCTCACTAGAAATGTGCTGATTCTATCCCTTGATAGCTAGTCCATGATGTAAAATTAAAAGTATTATCAAAGAAAAAAAGAACAACTTTTTTTTTGTTTTAGGATATTATCATTACAGATGATTCGCGAATGATAGCTTTGAGGACAATAGTAATTCATTTCTCTAAGGAATAATGATGAAAGCTGAAATCTAATAAATATGTTTGGATAATATATAAATGTTTCCTTCTTTTATTCATATGCCTTTAATCTATGTATTTCTCCTCTTCTGAATAGTTATTTTTGGTGTTATCTGATGTTATTTACGCTTATATTTTCATATGACCCAAATACTTTGATTCGATTATTTTCTTCTTTTTTCTGTAATATTTATATATCCTAAGTGAAAAGCATGATATTGTTTTAAATGTATTCCTTCTCTTTGAAATTTAATTTGTTTTCCCTATTTATTTTTCTTTTTTATAGGTATCGCCCTGATTGCTGTGGATGAGGCTCACTGTATTTCTGAGTGGGGACATGATTTTAGAAATTCATTCAGGGCTTTGGGTTCCCTAAAGGCAGCATTCCCATTGGTAAGCTTTGCCAGGTATAATATCTTTGCCCTTATCTTTTATTACTCATCTCATTTGCTTGATTCCAGCCACCCTGTTCTCCTTGATATTCTTCAAACATGCCACTTATGTTAGGGCTTTGTTCTCACTCTTCCTTGTTGCTGAATACTTTTCACCTAGGTAATTCACATGGTCTGATCCCTTACTTCTCTCAGGTCTTTGCTAAAATAGTACTTTTTCATTTAGGACACGTGGGCCACTATATGAAAAATTTCAAAGTAACCTCTTTTCCAATACTCAACATTTCTCTTTGTTCTTTTGCTATTTTTAAATAGCACATATCTCTGTTAACTTACTGTATTTTGTCTACTGTCTGTGGCTCCCTACTAGAATATTCTTTGTGGGAGGAGTTTTTGATATATTGTTTTATAAAATCTAGGACAGTATCTGGCACATAGTGGGTTCTCCATGAATAATAGAGTAAATGAATAAATGAATTCTGATGAGAAAGCTGAGAATCAGAGAAGTAACTGTAGTTACTTCTAGTAAGTAGTAGAGTTGGGCAATAGCCACACAGTAGGACACTGTGTTAGTCTCTAAAGCAAATGATTAAGAAGAAGTGTAAAGCATAGTTTCTGCCCTAAAGTAGTTCATAGTCTAATAAAGGATTTTAGATTCATATCTATAAAAAATAGAAACTGTAATACCAATTAATATAGACAGATTAATAATGTTAACAGTACATGTAATAGAGAAAGAAGATATTTATATGGTGAAAGTCACTCAGATCAGTATACCCTGAGGACTGCTATCCATTAATTTAGAATGGTTTAAAATGAGCTTTTGGAAACTAGGAAGATCGCTTTCTGTAATCTTTTCCTAGGCCTCTGATTCTAGAAGGATTGTGTTAGAGGAATTTTAAATAGTCTATGCAGTTCTTAAACACTTTTCAGTGTTGAATTAAGTCTTTTATTCTATCTGATTGTACACTCCATTGGGTCATTTTCATTTCTTGGGATGATTCAATATAGCACAGGGTATTCATCAGGAATGACTGAGAAAACCTTTTTCTCCTAGTGTTTCATGAATCCTCTTTATTAGCTAAGTTGTAAGAAATGCCACCTGGTGATTGTAGTACTCTCATTTTCCTCACTGTTCTCAGTCCTTTCCCTGCCCCACCCTCCCCGTTTCCAATAGCGGTTGCACTGGGAAAACTGGTGTAAACCTGCAGTACTTCACACCACATTATTTCAGTAAGTTCAAAAATAGCAGAGAAATCACTAAACCATTTGGCACAAAGATTACGATCTGGAGGGAATCAGACAAAGTGAGTTTCAAGAGCAGCCAGGCAAAAGCTCTAACCCATTCTTAAAATTCTATAAAATTCAAATAAGAACTGTGATATCCATCAGACATGATGACTCTTTCCATTACTTTTGCTCCAGTCCTTTCACAAAGATCAGTGCATAGTAGACAGTAACTATTTGTAATGAGTGACTGAATGAATGAAGCATATTTTGGAGTACAGAGTTAGAAGTAGCGACATGGTCCAAATTTAGAAGCAGATGAAATAGTTATAATTCTCTGAATCTGTAGGTATTACATTTTGAAGTATGTGACTCATTCCTAAATTTATAGTAACAAGATTAATTTATATTTTGTTGTTTGTTTTAACAAAACTTGCCACTTATTACCAAAGAAACTAAGATTTGCCAGCTTAAAGAATAAGAGTTTCATAAGTTAAGAACTTGATATACCTAGGTGACAGTATAATTTATCATCCAAACCAGTTCTCATTTGATAATTGAGAGGTGCAAGCTGTTAGTAATGATGCTGTGATAGCAGCATACACTGGGAGTGTCCCAGCAAACCACCATGTGTGGTCACCTTTCTCATCAGTATACCTTGAGGCCTGCTTTCCATCAATTTAGAATGGTTTAAAGTAAACTTTTAGAAACTAGGAAGATTTGCTTTCTGTAAGCAGCCTGTGTGTTATTTTTAAGCTTAATGCCGTTTTATAAATTTTAAACATCATAAAACACCACAAGCTTCTAAGAGAAAAGATTGTATTCATTTCTGAAATGGAAATAAATAACTGTTGTTTCTTTAAGTCTAAACATAGTCCATTACTTTATTCCACATTCTAGTTGTGGAAGTAGCATTTTTAACTACGACTTTCTAGAATGTTGGAGACAAAAGAGTGAGTTTATAATGATTTTTCATTGTTAGCAGTTCATTCGAATAAGCAGTTTCTAGTGGCACAACAGGAATTTTTGTTAGAGTCTAACATTATGCGTCTCCTCTCCATCTCAAATTTTGATGAAAGAATTGAGGCCAGGAAAAGTTAGCCTTTGCCAAAGTCAGTGGAAAATCTGGGAGTAGTGCCTATGTCACTGGAGTTCTTATGTAGAATTCTTTTCAATCGTTGCAATAACAGTATCAGTAATAGCTGAAACTTTTTGAGTGCTTGTGGTGTACCATGCATTATGTTCAGCACATAATATGTTTTATCTCATTGGGTCATTAAAATAACTCTATGAGATTGTGGCTGTTTATAGAGTGAAATAAACAGCCCCAAACCTCACATCTGGTTAGTGGCAAAGGCAGGATTTGAATTTAGGCAACTAACTCTAAGCCAGATTTTTTTTTCACTACTGAGCTGCTGTTTTGCCTGACTTTTCTATTAATTTCTTCAATAGCTGTCATTTTTCGTGCTTATTTCCTTATTTTCATAAATGCATTGCATATCCACTCATACATTATATTGCTTAGAAACAAACCAAATCCTCTTTGCTTATATTTTTGATCCTGAAAACTTCTTTATTTATCTGTATATGCAGTTAAACAACAAGTATTTTATTAGTGCGTTTATAAATTGTATGAATAAAGCACTTACATTTAATGGAAATTCTTCGTTGTTGTGAGGGTGAAAATGTGTATTTCCTAAGAACTAATACTTAAACTTTTCTTATTCTCAGCCTTATATTTGATATAAATATTTTCATTAAATGTGTGTGTGTATGTATATGCTTGATTAGAGATACTAACTTCTTTATAAATTTGCCTATTCATCTATAAGTTGTTAGGCAGACACTCTCTAAATTCAGAGAACCATCTGATTGTAAGCCAAAAATCAATCAAGTTAATTTGGGGTTACTATTTTAAATAATATCACAAAATTTAAGGATAGAGAATTCAAAAATGCAAATTACCTGCTCAGATTGGTTTTGATACAATTTTTTTCTATTTACAAAAACTACTCCCAAACTTAATTGATACTTTTTACATGATCTTTGAGATAATTTTTAATTCAGTGAAGCGATATTGATTGTAAAAGTAGTTTTTATTTTTTAATAAATTGTTTTTCAAATTCTATAATGGTGTTTTACAAACTGCACATAAACTTTCACTTACATATAAGAAAATTGCTTAAACCGATTTTTCGGGTAAATGCAATGTATTCGAGGAGCTATTTTATCAGAAGATTAATTATTATATTTATAGTAGGCCAAAAAGAATATTTTAAGAAAGTTGTATTTTTGAATATACAACAGCTAATGATTTAGGAATAACTTTAAGACTTGGTCCATTTTTTCTGATTATGAAATAATAGCATAATTGATTATAACTCCCTATGATAACGGGGACAGAATGTTAAATCTAGTTTCATGGGAGGTATGTTGTTATCTTACTTCAGAAGTTCTGAAAGGTTACATATTCATGTTTTTCCTAATACATGCTGTGTCTCCTACTTTGGCTGCTAATCCAGTCAAAATATCTTTGCTAGACTGAAAATAGAACATGACTTGGTTGCTCAAGGAATCAGTTAACAATAAATGTTTCATTTTATGCATTTTTTTTTTTTATTTATATATGCCATGATTAACTTAGTAAAACTGGAGAGAGGTTATCCAGGTCAATGAGAGCTTTGCTTCTGGATCTGAAACCAGTACATTTAGTATAGGAGACAAAAAAAGACTCCTGCTTTGTATAATTAGATTTTCAGTGAATGAAAGAGTTTATAATTTGTGAATTACAGGTTAATAAAAATAAGGCATACCCCTGTTTATATCAACAGTATTATAATGTTAAAAATAATAAATGAAGAGGTAGATAACTAATAAGTAGCTTTAATCTAATAAGACAAAGTAGATTACATTTAGAAATCTAATGGATTTAGTATGTTATTTAAATGATTTCTGGTTTTAAAAAAGTAAATGTATTCAGAGGCTGAGAAACACATAAATAGGAAGTTTTTTCTTTTTTTAAAAGGAATGATTTTAAAGTTGCATTTTTTTCTTAATTTTTAAAAATTTATGTATTTTTTTATTTGTTTGTTTTTTGAGGCAGGGAGGTGCATGGAGGGGAGAGTTTGAGGTGTGCAGTTCTTACCAAGCAAGTGTGTGGGAGGGAGCATGGGGGGGAAACCAGGTGAGTTAGGCCTGGCAGAATAACTATTCAGAGTGTAGTTGAGTGTTTGGAAGGTTCTGTGCTGTGAGCTCTGATTTATTTAATATATTCCAAGATGTCTCTGCAGCCAGCTGCACAGTTTTGGGAGTGGTTCTAGGTTAAAGTTGCATTTTCAATACTGTTTCTCCTATCTTCCAGTCTTTCTGTAAGAGGGTGGTAGAATTGTTAGAAATTAATGAGCTCTCTCCTTTTTTAAAAATCAACTGTTTCATGCAGGTTCCAATAGTAGCGCTCACTGCTACTGCAAGTTCTTCAGTCCGGGAAGACATTGTACGGTGCTTAAACCTGAAGGATCCTCAGATTACTTGTACTGGTTTCGATCGACCAAACTTGTATTTAGAAGTTGGACGAAAAACAGGAAACATCCTTCAGAATCTGAAGCAATTTCTTGTCCGAAAGACAAGGTGGGGATTTCATAGTTGATAAATTTTGGTAACTGTTTCCTTCTTTTTCAAAAAATTATTATTTTTTAAATTTTTTTACTATTTCCTTTGAATGCATATTTTAACATATTTCAAATTCCATTTAGCTTTGATTTAAATCAAGTATGGTATTATATAATCAAGACAGTGATTGGAGAAAAAGTCTATTTTTGACGTCAGAAACTAATTCTTCTAGTATTTTTATATTCCATACTGTTGCTTGAACAGAACATACACTCTTAGTAATTGAGAGGTAAACAATAAAAACACAATAAGCTTTTATCTGAATTCTATCTAGTTTACTAATTATATGACCAATTTGAGTATTAGGTAATTTTAAAAATTCATTTTAATAATAAACACTTTTGAGCCCACATCATGTGCCGAGGACTATCCTAGGTACTTTACATAAGTGATCTAGTTTAATTCTTATAAATGCTCTGTAAGCTACATGTTATTTTCATTTTAATGATGAAAAAACTGTCATTAGTACTTCTCCCTATTTGTCTGAAGACATTTTAAATGTATCCTGAGAAGCTTCCGATAGCCTTATTCCCTGATCTGTCTGCTCAGTGAAAAGCTGACCACATGTTATGAAATGCAGTTTTAGGTCAGAATAAATGGAAATAATCTTTGTTCTACCAATACGAACACAAAATAAATCTAGTCAAATAGAGTTTAAAGAATATCATTAGTGTTTTCCTTTTTGGAAAGGTATTTAAAAAAAAGATCGATCCTAGCTTAAGGAAACCCAATAATAATTCTTGAGTGCCTTTAGGATGAATTTAAATGTAGGATTTGCTATTGGCTTGATTGTCTTATATTCAGAATAAAACAAGAATGTAATGCATACATTCTGAGTGGTCTGGCTGTTTTAGTGATCTCTCTGAATTCAAGACTCATTGTACTTTACTTCCCTCCCATCCTAAAGGAAGATTGTTCTCTTGAAGAAGGCTGTTTAATTTAGGCCGGAGTCTCCTCAATCAGATCATGATCTACCTCCCTAATCCGTGATCCTTTTCAGTCCATATTGTTCCCAGTCTCTGTGGTACTTTCTCATAATAACTCTCTCCATTTTGAAAGTGTTTACTTTTTTTGTTTGTTTGTTTTTTTGTGACAATATGACATCCTATTTGTTCTTATGTTCCTTTTTCCTTTAGTTCTGCCTGGGAATTTGAAGGTCCAACCATCATTTATTGTCCTTCCAGAAAAATGACAGAACGAGTTACAGATGAACTTAGGAAACTGAAGTTAACCTGTGGAACATACCACGCAGGCATGACTATTAACTCAAGGAAAGCTGTTCATCATAGGTTCATGAGAGATGAAATTCAGGTGTGAAGATTGATCATCATTACTCTCAATGCCCCACAGTGGAAACAGATACTTCTCTAATATTTATTTACCAAATCTTTTTTTAATAGCTTCTTTGTATTGAGCATAAAACAGTCCCTCCGATAAAGGGAATCAATGTATGATGTGAGGAGATAGACACTTGAGCAAACAATTGCAGACTAGTATAAGTAGTAGCCTGTACGTAGTGCTTTGGTGCACAGAGGAGAGAATACTAGCTGTTAAGGTAGGTTGTGTGATGGGGATGGTCCATTCAGGAAGAAGCGATTTGAGTAGAGTATGAAAAGTGAATAGAAGTTTGTCATGTGTGCAAGGCCAGTAGGTGAAGAGGGAAAAGGAACTGATTATAGAATTCCAGGAATAAGGACTAATATCTGCAAAGCACTGTGGTATGAGAGTGTATACTGGGTTCAGGAAATTGTGAGTAGTTTGGGATGGTTGTAGAGAAAGGGTATGTGGAGTAGGAATTGCTCAAAGTAAAGGTATAAATGCAGGGAGGAACTGTTAGAGACTTATGAGAAAGTTGAATGGGTTGGTTGGCCAGGTTATAGAGAGCTTCAAAACTTGCAAAGAGACAGGCTGGGATCAGTGTGGTTTTCCAGACTACTTTAGCCTTAGAAGTTTTTATTTAAATGAAATTTTATCTATTAGGTAAAAGAGATTAGAGTAGAATAATCCTTGTTGAATTTGATGTGAGAGAGAAAGGGGTCCAAGAGCCTCCCTGTCTCTAAGGCAGTCCCCTCAGAGCTCCATAGAATAGAGTTTGAAAATCATCACAACAGACTATTCTGTGTTTTTGAGCAAGATAATAGTATTATAGAAACATTAGGCTGGCAGCACTAAGTAGGTTTGATTTGAAGGAGAAAAACTGAAGATGAAAACTGAAGGAGAAAAACTGATGAAGGCATTGTGAAATGCTACAGCTGACATTCCTGTAGCGATTGCAATCAAGAAATAATTCCAATCTGTAATGATTGGAATTCTGGTTCGGTGAGTTTAATACAGAATATTTGGGAAGATTTAAATTCAAGCCACCTTAATAGGTTTAAATCAACAACTTCATCCTGTCAACATCATATCCATACTCTGTCACCATGTGCCTGTGGACTAGCAAGTTAAGAGATAAACTTCTGCTTTGCATTTTTCTGTGCAATAGGTCATTCATTTCCTCTCTATCCAGCCGTCCCTATTATATGTAGTTGTTAACCACCTCAAACCCACATTGTTCAAACAACTACCTTAGGTCTGGTTCGTATGTGCTGTCTGTAAAACTCACTGTGCGTTGTTGTGATGTAATGCATACCTGCCTGAAAATATCCATTCTCTTCCTTCCTCTTCTTTCCAAACATAGGAATAGGTATCACAACTGCCTAGAACAGTGATTTTACCCACATTATATTTTCATTCTATTATCTCAGGAGCTTGAAAATATCAGATAAAGTTGATTAGCTGCTGCTTATTGAATATTAACAATTGATGTTTGAGCCATTAACTGAACAATGATTTCTTCTGTCATGATATAGTACTAATTTTTCATTTAGGTAGAAACATCTCCTAAAGACATGAGAGAGTACAGACTTTACCTATATGATGTTTGTTGGGAGACTTTGTTGGATGCGTCTGGGTTTCCTCCCAATACACAGCTTCATCGAAACAATGCTTTGAAATATGGCTTTAAAAACATCACAGCAATCACTAATCATACCTAATATCTAGAAGGGTATATGTATGTATGTGCTGCTATATTTTCCCTTTTCTATGGCAGGATGTCACAAATTTTTATCCACATTATGAAAATTAATAATAGTGATCATGTCACGCTAGATTGACATCAGAAGTTCTGTTGTGTCTGACAACTGCCCAGTGTACTCCTCCTTTGCCATTATGAATAATTCAAAAGTTTCATATTTGAATTGAGAATTCTCAGACACCTCAAGATGAAGAAAATACATTTCCTTATCTATATAGAATGGTCTGGTGCTTTTGGCATTACCATTGAGTATTTATTGAGTGCCTACTGAATGCCTATGTACGCAGAATTCTAGATACTTATTCTCTTATCTTTTTACAGTGGATTTATACTTTAGTGTAAGCCTAAAAGTAGAGCCGATCTTCCTAGCTTACCTCCCTAGCTCTTAATGTCTTGGATTGAGTGATGCTTACAATCTTAGTATTTTCTATTTGATAATTTAGAAAAACTTTTTTTTCTTTCTGATTGTTCATAACCAAATCTAACCATCTTCAGATGTAGATTTGTATTTTTAGTCTGTGACCATTTATTCTTTTAATCCAGACTTTTAGTTTTATGGGTTTTTTTTTGTATTTTATTTGCCTTTTCAAGATGGCTTGAATTTCTTTCCTTTCTGGGATTAGGTTTTGAATTATTTGGTAAAATATCTGTATTTACACCTGAGAGAATAGAATAGGTTGATCTCATCTAAGAACAATATCATATTATAAAAATTAAATCTTAAAAGTTCTCACCACACACACTCACACACAAATGGTAACTATGTGAGGTGATAGATGTGTTAAGTAACCTTATTGTGGTAATCATTTCACAATATGGATGTATATCAAATCATCACATTATACCTCTTAAACTTACACAGTGTTATATGTCAGTTATATCTCAATAAAGCTGGAAAGATTGAATAAGAAATAACTTTAAAAGATAATTGAATTATGTTGCTTATTCACTTTTAAATATAGCAAAATTGATTAGTCATAGTCACTCAAACCTTTTTAATATATTTTCATTCCTATACTTATATTTTCTCACCTTTATTATACTTCCTTTTATTTGTTCAGCATTTTCTTTTTTTTTCTTTTTTCTTTTTTTTTGATACTCTTGGTCCATCTTATTATTTTTAAATGGCACTTTAATTTTAAAGTTACACATGCACGAAGTTTAAAGAACCAAATAGTTTTGCAGTGCTTACTCTGAAAAGCATAGCCCCTTATTCCTTCCCTACTTATATTTCCCATTCCAATTCTTTTAGTTTATTTTTTTGGTGTTTACTACTATATCTTACAATAATTTCCTTACTGCTACTACTTAGTTTTTTACTTGTTTATTAATTTTAGGCATTATCTATTGACTCCCCACTATGAAACATGAAAGTTTAGCTCTTTTTCACATCCCTTCCTGCCCTTCTCATCCTACTCATGGACTTCTAACTCCCTTTCCTCCCAATATTAATATTATAATTTCAGTTAGATCAATATATATATTCAAATATTATATATACATATTTCTCTGTGAATGCTTTTTATCACTAAGCCATGTAGTATATTACAGTTACTTTTCTTATACATCTTGTATTCTTATTGTTAGTACTTTTTAGTTTTTTGTGTTCTTGTTACTAATTCTTCCCTAAAATTTCTCCAATTATGTAAATCACATTCCAGTATATTGATATATATTAGCTATTTTACCAATTTTATTTGTTTAAAGATGCAGAGATAAATTCATATTTCATTTTATCATCTTTAATGAGACACTTCCTTCAATCTTAGAACAATGCTAGAAAATATTAAGATACTGTGCAATCAGGGAAGGACTCTTGAAACGTCATAATAACACAAAAGTCTCATTTAATAAAATAAATATTTTAAACCTCTTTTGTATCTTGTACTTATAAGTAGAGAAACCATTTTATTTGCTACTTTTTGTAGAGAGGGAACATAAGTCCTATTTTATGATCACTGATCCTTAATCTATAAATTAGACAGGTAATCTTTTAATCTATAAATGATTTGTTGAAATTATATTAAATTCAGTTTCATGCCAGGGATTTTAGCTAATTAACTTAATTATTCTTATTAAAAGGAAAAAATGTAAGATTTTAGTTTTGCTAAATGTTTCGTCAAACTGCGTTGTTATTTATTCTCAGTGTGTCGTAGCTACCATAGCTTTTGGAATGGGCATTAATAAAGCAGACATTCGCAAAGTCATTCATTATGGTGCTCCTAAGGAAATGGAATCATATTACCAGGAAATTGGTAGAGCTGGCCGCGATGGACTTCAAAGTTCTTGTCACGTACTCTGGGCTCCAGCAGACATTAACTTAAATAGGTAAAAACATTTATTGCTTTTACTCTTGCAGATTTCTTTCTTTTTTTCCGTATAAGCTTTGAAAGTATTTGAGGCAGCATCCAGAATTTCAAGTAATGTGTATAACTGCATTTAAAACCAAAACAAAACAGAGGACATCTAAGAATGTTTGTGGGTAAGTGCTGCCAATCAGAGGAGACGACCTATTTCAGCCATAATTGTTATTCAGTTTGAAGTATTTACTAAATCAGGACTATACTAAGAATGTAACATAGATCCTATATAATACTTTCCTAATATTGTGTATCCATGAGTTGTTTTTCCTCTCCTCAAGTCCTCTCAATCTTTGATATATCTTCAGCCACAGTTACTTCGGATACCATTAATTTTGTTATTGGTTTTTTTCTTCCATCCTCTAATGCTGCTTATTCCAAATGACTTGTGCCAGTCCTTATTTGGCTGTCTTTACCATTTGTTTTCTTTGTTAGTTCTATGAGAACATGCCAGTCCTTGACAGTGTGTGAATAATCATGTTGCACTGTACTGGTTGGTTGACTGTCCTGAAGAAAATATTTTGTGTTCAGTGTTTAAATACAGCAAAACCATTTTACTTAAATACTAATCAGGCATTTTGTTGGCACTTAAGTTCTGTGAGATTTATATTGGAAAGGAAAACGTCACCTTGCAAAAATTTTAGAGATAGTGTTTAGCAACTGGTTCTCTCATCTATGGGGGGCGGGGGGAAACTCAGGGAAAAAAACATATATAATAACTGATGGGCTTGCCAAGATGAAATATTTTCAAAATGGACCTCCACGTAGCTGAATAAATTGAGCCCTTGAATGTGGACATATTAGTCCATTTTATTAAAATGATGAGAGTGCCTATCCAATACAGTTTTAATTTGTTCATCATTTAACAAAGCTTTTTTTTAGTGCCCTCTATAATCCAAGCATTATGCTCCATTGCTGGGGTTACAGTGATAAATAAAAGATGCGGTACTTGTTTTCATAGTGCTTACTGTATAACAGGAATGGCAGATCTTAAACATAGAATCATACAACTATGGATTTTAATTTGTTGAGAATTCTCAGACACCTCAAGATGAAGAAAATACATTTCCTTATCTATATAGAATGGTCTGGTGCTTTTGGCATTACCATTGAGTATTTATTGAGTGCCTACTGAATGCCTATGTACGCAGAATTCTAGATACTTATTCTCTTATCTTTTTACAGTGGATTTATACTTTAGTGTAAGCCTAAAAGTAGAGCCGATCTTCCTAGCTTACCTCCCTAGCTCTTAATGTCTTGGATTGAGTGATGCTTACAATCTTAGTATTTTCTATTTGATAATTTAGAAAAACTTTTTTTTCTTTCTGATTGTTCATAACCAAATCTAACCATCTTCAGATGTAGATTTGTATTTTTAGTCTGTGACCATTTATTCTTTTAATCCAGACTTTTAGTTTTATGGTTTTTTTTTTGTATTTTATTTGCCTTTTCAAGATGGCTTGAATTTCTTTCCTTTCTGGGATTAGGTTTTGAATTATTTGGTAAAATATCTGTATTTACACCTGAGAGAATAGAATAGGTTGATCTCATCTAAGAACAATATCATATTATAAAAATTAAATCTTAAAAGTTCTCACCACACACACTCACACACAAATGGTAACTATGTGAGGTGATAGATGTGTTAAGTAACCTTATTGTGGTAATCATTTCACAATATGGATGTATATCAAATCATCACATTATACCTCTTAAACTTACACAGTGTTATATGTCAGTTATATCTCAATAAAGCTGGAAAGATTGAATAAGAAATAACTTTAAAAGATAATTGAATTATGTTGCTTATTCACTTTTAAATATAGCAAAATTGATTAGTCATAGTCACTCAAACCTTTTTAATATATTTTCATTCCTATACTTATATTTTCTCACCTTTATTATACTTCCTTTTATTTGTTCAGCATTTTCTTTTTTTTTTCTTTTTTCTTTTTTTTTGATACTCTTGGTCCATCTTATTATTTTTAAATGGCACTTTAATTTTAAAGTTACACATGCACGAAGTTTAAAGAACCAAATAGTTTTGCAGTGCTTACTCTGAAAAGCATAGCCCCTTATTCCTTCCCTACTTATATTTCCCATTCCAATTCTTTTAGTTTATTTTTTTGGTGTTTACTACTATATCTTACAATAATTTCCTTACTGCTACTACTTAGTTTTTTACTTGTTTATTAATTTTAGGCATTATCTATTGACTCCCCACTATGAAACATGAAAGTTTAGCTCTTTTTCACATCCCTTCCTGCCCTTCTCATCCTACTCATGGACTTCTAACTCCCTTTCCTCCCAATATTAATATTATAATTTCAGTTAGATCAATATATATATTCAAATATTATATATACATATTTCTCTGTGAATGCTTTTTATCACTAAGCCATGTAGTATATTACAGTTACTTTTCTTATACATCTTGTATTCTTATTGTTAGTACTTTTTAGTTTTTTGTGTTCTTGTTACTAATTCTTCCCTAAAATTTCTCCAATTATGTAAATCACATTCCAGTATATTGATATATATTAGCTATTTTACCAATTTTATTTGTTTAAAGATGCAGAGATAAATTCATATTTCATTTTATCATCTTTAATGAGACACTTCCTTCAATCTTAGAACAATGCTAGAAAATATTAAGATACTGTGCAATCAGGGAAGGACTCTTGAAACGTCATAATAACACAAAAGTCTCATTTAATAAAATAAATATTTTAAACCTCTTTTGTATCTTGTACTTATAAGTAGAGAAACCATTTTATTTGCTACTTTTTGTAGAGAGGGAACATAAGTCCTATTTTATGATCACTGATCCTTAATCTATAAATTAGACAGGTAATCTTTTAATCTATAAATGATTTGTTGAAATTATATTAAATTCAGTTTCATGCCAGGGATTTTAGCTAATTAACTTAATTATTCTTATTAAAAGGAAAAAATGTAAGATTTTAGTTTTGCTAAATGTTTCGTCAAACTGCGTTGTTATTTATTCTCAGTGTGTCGTAGCTACCATAGCTTTTGGAATGGGCATTAATAAAGCAGACATTCGCAAAGTCATTCATTATGGTGCTCCTAAGGAAATGGAATCATATTACCAGGAAATTGGTAGAGCTGGCCGCGATGGACTTCAAAGTTCTTGTCACGTACTCTGGGCTCCAGCAGACATTAACTTAAATAGGTAAAAACATTTATTGCTTTTACTCTTGCAGATTTCTTTCTTTTTTTCCGTATAAGCTTTGAAAGTATTTGAGGCAGCATCCAGAATTTCAAGTAATGTGTATAACTGCATTTAAAACCAAAACAAAACAGAGGACATCTAAGAATGTTTGTGGGTAAGTGCTGCCAATCAGAGGAGACGACCTATTTCAGCCATAATTGTTATTCAGTTTGAAGTATTTACTAAATCAGGACTATACTAAGAATGTAACATAGATCCTATATAATACTTTCCTAATATTGTGTATCCATGAGTTGTTTTTCCTCTCCTCAAGTCCTCTCAATCTTTGATATATCTTCAGCCACAGTTACTTCGGATACCATTAATTTTGTTATTGGTTTTTTTCTTCCATCCTCTAATGCTGCTTATTCCAAATGACTTGTGCCAGTCCTTATTTGGCTGTCTTTACCATTTGTTTTCTTTGTTAGTTCTATGAGAACATGCCAGTCCTTGACAGTGTGTGAATAATCATGTTGCACTGTACTGGTTGGTTGACTGTCCTGAAGAAAATATTTTGTGTTCAGTGTTTAAATACAGCAAAACCATTTTACTTAAATACTAATCAGGCATTTTGTTGGCACTTAAGTTCTGTGAGATTTATATTGGAAAGGAAAACGTCACCTTGCAAAAATTTTAGAGATAGTGTTTAGCAACTGGTTCTCTCATCTATGGGGGGCGGGGGGAAACTCAGGGAAAAAAACATATATAATAACTGATGGGCTTGCCAAGATGAAATATTTTCAAAATGGACCTCCACGTAGCTGAATAAATTGAGCCCTTGAATGTGGACATATTAGTCCATTTTATTAAAATGATGAGAGTGCCTATCCAATACAGTTTTAATTTGTTCATCATTTAACAAAGCTTTTTTTTAGTGCCCTCTATAATCCAAGCATTATGCTCCATTGCTGGGGTTACAGTGATAAATAAAAGATGCGGTACTTGTTTTCATAGTGCTTACTGTATAACAGGAATGGCAGATCTTAAACATAGAATCATACAACTATGGATTTTAATTTGTTCATCATTTAACAAAGCTTTTTTTTAGTGCCCTCTATAATCCAAGCATTATGCTCCATTGCTGGGGTTACAGTGATAAATAAAAGATGCGGTACTTGTTTTCATAGTGCTTACTGTATAACAGGAATGGCAGATCTTAAACATAGAATCATACAACTAGGGTTCATTTTACTATTCTCTTTTTGTGTTTGAAAATTTTAATAATCAGAAGTTTTTAAAAAAGAGATCATGGAAATATATGTAAAATTACAACTGCGTTAAACGCTATGAAGGAAAGTGGCATTGAGTAGTGAGTATATAACGGGGTATGTGTTTATCAAGTCGCAAAGGTCAGGTAAGTCCTCCTTCAGGAAGTGATAGGGTAAGTTGAGATCCGAAAGAAGAACAGAGATTAATTTAGTCAAAATGTTTGCTATAAATTTTAAGCTCTTCCTTTTAAGAGTAGTCAGTAGCTTTTATTTCTTAACATAGAGTCAATAAAATCATCTCCTTAACAGAACAACTGTTGTTTTCCTTTTGACACTAGTGTCTAGGTAAAATTTTTTTATAAACTAATTTAAAACAATTGGGGTAGAACACAGTTCTGCATGCTGCTGGTAAGTTTGGTATTGTGTCAAACATAAGTTGATTCCTACCAGTACTTATTTTATTTGTACATTAAACTAAAGGTGCTAAAGACTTAACATCCTGAGTTTTATATTGTGGCTTTCTTTGCAGGTTTAACCATAGAGGCAGTTTCCTATTTTTCTGGGTCTCAAAAGATATTTTAAATGATTTTCTCATTAAGATTTGACAGGAAGTCTCAATGATTAGTAATGAATAGTGGTGCCAAAAAACTCATACTTGAGTCTTTAGTATAGACAGATTGTTCTTTGCATCCATCCTAAGGGAAATAAAACTAGGGTTAATCAAGATAAAGAATTCAGCAAGGATTGAGGATGCATCTGTGTCATCTTTGTGACAAACCTCTTCTATTAGAAAAGACAAAAAGTTTTAGAATAAATGGAGTCTAGTTCTCAACTGCAAAGGTCACTATAATTCACAAAATGTTTAGAGTCTATTCTATGCTAGAATCCTATGACTGAGAGAAGAAACTTGTCATCAACGTAAGTGTGTAATTTTACATTTCATATTGCAGAAGCCATACCCTTAGCAAAGTCTCAATGTCTGCTTTTGCTATTATTTTAAACAGTCAAACCCAATAGTTTTATTGTAATTTTTAAGGGAGTAATTTGCAAGTTAATCTCAATTTAATAAATCTTCTGCTGGCTCCAACTGATTTCTATTTATGATCTTGTTTTTAGAATTTTTCTTCTTTTTCCACTTGTTTTTATTCTGTGAAATATTGTATTTTAACTATTGTAATAGTCCCCAAAGAAGAATATTCATTTGATTTGATGTTAGAGACTTGTAATTTTATTTTCTTAAATTTGTTACTGACTCTTATAAGATTAGTTAAATGTAGGTCATCAGAACAAAATGTAAGAAAGAATGTAGTTCTTAAGAGTGTAGGCATTTGTTTTCTTTATTCTTTCTGAGAAGATGGTGAGCTAAACAAATAAAGCAAAAGAGGAACTATTTTTCAGTGCATGACCTAGGAAGAATGAAGTTAGACGCTAACCCAGGAACTAGAGTCAATAACTGGAAGAGACTTTTAAGGAAATTACGGGCATATCTTGTTTTATTGCACTTTGCTTTATTGCGCTTCATGGATATTGCATTTTTTACAAAATTAAAAGCAAGACTCTCCGCCAGCAAAAAGTTTATGCTTGCTTTATTGTGGTACTTACTTTATTGCAGTGGTCTGGAATCGAACCTGCAGTATCTCCAAAGTATACCTATGTATGGAAGGGTGGTTAGTGGTGTCAGATGATAATGTTTTTGAATAAGAGATCATTTGTGTGTTCAGACTTTCTAGAACTCACTTAACTAGATTCCCTGTTGGTGTCATCCTTGAAAATTGTACCAGAGGTCTTTTTATCATTCAGAAGGGTGGATAGTCAAAATATTCATGAGTGAGGCCCATTTTGATGAGGCCCATTTTGATGAGGATCTTATAGGTGAATCATTGTTTTCTTTTGAAATATCTGAAACCTGTTCAACTCAGACTTCTGTTTATTCTTGGAAAGAATTCTTGGAAAGCTATTTGGGCAATTGTCATCATCTGATATCTGATATTCATGGAATTTCTTTACAGAAAACTAGAATTAACAGAATCAGGATGAGGTATAGCAGCATTAACTTTAAAACAAACAAATATATTTTAGATTTATTTAACAGTTTTAAATAAATTTAGTATTTTTGAAAAAAATCAGTTGTAATTGTTTGAAGAAGGAAATTAATTCTGATACTTTACTGGTATCTCATAATACCCTATCATACAAAGAGATAGTTTTAAAGAGCTGAGAGGTCCTCTGAAGAGCCAGTAGGGATCTAGGTTAATATTTGGATCATAGGTGCTTACATAGGTGCTTTTAGTTTCTCATATAAAATAAATTTAAATAAAGAATAACCTTTTACTGGGAAGAAGTAAAAATTCATATATAGTAGAAAGATTGCCAAAAAGCATGTAGCATAAATTAAAATGAAAAACTTTAGGGTTTATAATAATTTTTCTAAGGCAGCTAAAAAATTGATGCTTGGACATAGGTGAATTCTTTCAAAACTTTATTCATAAAAAAATCAGAAAAATGCTTGCCTCTTGTAGAGGACTTGACTGCGAAGGGACACACAATAACTTTCTGGGATGATAGAAATGTTCTTTGTCTTGATAGGGATGTGGGTGTTGTTATAGGTTATGAAAAATAAACAGTAATAAGTAAACAAAGTAAAAATCTCTAATGCAATTTATATATTCCTGTGATATTTTTAATTGATAGGTATCGTCTTAGTGAGATACAGAATGAAAAATTTCGATTATACAAATTAAAGATGTTGGCAAAGATGGAAAAATATCTTCATTCCAGCAGTTGTAGGCGACGGTATGTATTATTTATATCAATTAATAGCATGGATTTATGGATGCTGCTCTTTTAAGAAAAAAGTTTTGCAAAATAATTAGGAATATTTAAAAACAATATTTTGTTGGTGTTACATATGTGCTTAATTTTTAAGGCAATGTTTTTTTTTTTTAAGTAAACTGAAGCCAAATAATGAGGTCCCACGTGAATCAATAAATGATGATTTCACCTCATGATTTTCAGCAATGAATTTAACATATACGTTTTTGTTCTTTTATTTAATTTTAAATTTTCTCTTGAGTAGAATCATCTTATCTCATTTTGAAGACAAACAACTACGAAAGGCCTCCTCGGGTATTATGGGAACTGAAAAATGCTGTGATAATTGCAAATCCAGGTAAAGATTTCTTCTAGATGGACATTCTAAAAGACTTTGTTTCTCCTCCTTTGCAAATACTTTTAATTCAGTTTTTGTTTAACAATATGTATTGCAGTTTTAGTTAAACAAAATAGTGAACTTATTTATGTAAGTAGATGACAAAGGAAGTAATATTTTGCTTTATAAATACACAAACCAATAAAATGATAGACCTAAATCTAAACATATCAATAGTAACATCAAATATAAATAGTCTAAAACACCATTTAAAAGTTTATATTGTTAGATTTGGTTTAAAAATATGACTCATTTATATTCTGTTCATAAGAAATCCACTACAGGTATAATTATTTAAGTAGTTAAAAATAAAAGGATAAAAACTAATACCACGAAAACATTAATCGAAAGAAAGCTGGAATTATTATTTTGATAGACAGTGGAGACTTTGGAGAAAGAATATTACCGGAGATGAAGAAAGATATTACATGATGATAAAAGGATCAGTCTACCAATGTGTCACTAAGGGTTCTCCTGACACACACACACACACACACACACACACAAACGCACAGATTGATTGATTGATTGGTTGATTTTAAGGAATTGGTTCATGCAATTGTGGAGGCTGGCAAGCCTGAAATATGTAGGGCAAGCTGACAGGCCAGAAAATTGGGCCGGATTTTGCGTTAACAGTCTTGAGTCCAAATTCCTCATTTTGTAGCTAACCTGTCTTTGCTCTTTAAGACCTTCATCTGCTTGGACGAGACCCACTCATATTATCAAGGATAATCTTCTTTACTTAAAGCAACTGATAGTAAATATAATCCCATCTACGAAATACCTTTATAATAACATCTGGACTATAGTGTTTGACCAAACAACTGAGCACCATAGCCAGGCCAAGTTGACACATAAAATTAACCATCATATCCAAGAACACATAAAGCCAAGTGTGTATATACTTAACAAAAGAACTGACAGAATTGAAAGGAGAAATAGAGAAATTCATAGTTATAGTTGGTGACTTTAACATCTTCACTCAGGAAGTAATAGAACTAGTAGAAAATCCGTAAGAAGATAGGAGAAATGAACAGAAGTGTCAACAAACTGGATTTAATCGTATAGAGCATACTGCCCAGCAACAGCAGAATACGCATTATTTTTGGGTGCATATGTAACATTCACAAATATAAACCATATTCTGGGTCATAAACTTTAAATTTAAAAGAATTATACAGAGTATATTTTCTGACTATAATGGAATGAAAATAGAAATCAATAACAGAAAGATGACAGGAAAGTCTCCAAATATTTGGCAATTAAATAACACACTACTAAATAACCCAAAGAGGAATTCTCGGGGTAAATCGGAAAATATTTTGAATGGAATGAAATGAAGATATAAAATATATGGGATACAGCAGCTAAAGCAATACTGAGCGGGAAATTTAGAGCATTAAATACAATAGAAGTTTCAAATCAGTAATTAAGCTTCCATTTTAAGAAGAAAAAAAGAGCAAAGTAAGCTAAAAGGAAGCAGAAGGAAAGATATGAGCATAAACTAATGAAATAGAAAACAAAAACAGTAGAGAAAACTAATGAACTCAAAAGCTCAGCCTTTGAAAATGTCAATAAAATTGATGGAAGCTTCTAACAAAGAAAGAAAAAGAGAGGACACACAGATTACCAATATCAGGAATAAAAGGAATTTCACTATAAACCTAGCAGATATTAAAAGGATAATAAGGAAACACTATGAATAACTCAGTGCATGTACATTCATGCACTGAGTTATTTCATCTAATAACTTAGATGAAATAGAGCGATTTCTTGAGACCCTCAAGCTAACAAAACTCACCCACAGTGCAATAGATAACCTGATTTGTCCTACAACTGTTAAAGAAATGAGATCTTTGTTAAAAACCTGAAAATAAAATTACCTAGCCCAAATGGTTTCAAAGGCAAATTATACCAAACATTTACAAGAAGAAATAATGCCATTTCTATAGTATGACCCCATTTATATGATATCCTCTCAAACATAAGACAATACTGTAGGGATAAAGAAAAGATCAGTGGTTTCCAGAAGGAGGGGGAGGATATGATTACAAAGGAATAGCACAAGGGAGTATTTTGCAGTGATGGATTTGTTGTGTGTCTTGATTGTGGTGATGGTAGCTGATTGTGGGAGTAGTTAGATGAGTCTATGCATATGAATCCTTGGATGTGTTCAAATTTGTAAAACTTTATACAGACACAGAGAGAGATACACACACATATACACACACAATCGATTTCACTGTTAATTGAAAAAATAAAACAAATGGTATATCTAGTTGAATTAACCGTATACCTGGTTGTGGTAGCTGTATCACTATTAGACAAATGAAGTATTATTAAAGATGAGATATTCTCTATGTAGTAATAAATAGTTTCTTCACCAAGAGGATAGAATTGTTCTCTGCGCCTTAAAAAACTTACAAATATCTAAAGCACAAATTGACAGAACAGCTAGAAGAAATTAGCAAACTCATTATCACAGTAGAAGAATTTGACATAAACTTTTAGTTATTGTTAGGTTAAGCAATCAAAAAATTAGTAAGCTATTGAAAATTTGGTCAACATAGTAATGTTTGATTTATCAGACATGTTGTATATAGACATGTTGTATATAGACATGTCAATTAGAGCAGTGTGTCTCAGATATTTTTATTTCATGCCTACATAATTAATGATGGTACCTGTATAGCAAATGAGGCTAGTTGAGTCTAGGTTCTGTCCAGAACCCCAAGGACTGAAGTGATTAACCTTTCAAGCACCCCTATAATCCATTTGCAGCACACTAGTTGGGAAGCACTGAATTAAAGACTATACTTCTTACACATACCTGGAATATTTATAAAGATTGACTATGTATTAGAGTAGGGGTTGGCAAACTATGGCATGTGGACCAAACTTGCTGCCTGTTTTGTGCATAAAGTTTCCTTGGGAAAGAGCCATGCCTTTTTGTTTATATATTATCTATGGCTGTTTTTGCAGGGTTGAGCTGAGTAGTTGTGACACAGAAGCCACATGGCCCACAAAGCCAAACTATTTAATCTGATCCTTGATAACAGTTTTCTGAACCCTGTATTAGACTGTAGCATGTCTTAAAAGTTTTTAATGTGTTGGAAAAAATATACCACATTTTGTCCAGAATGCAGTTGAATTAGAAGTAAATAAGAGGATAAACAAATTCTCATTCATTTGAAAATTAAAAATAACAATTTTAAATACTCATCAAAGAAAAAATCAAACTGGAAATTAAAACATTTTAAAACTCAATGATAATTAAAAAATGTTTTTTGAAAACAAAACTTCTCTTCTACTAAAACCTAACACAGAAATCCAATATTTATATAATCAAGCGAGCTCTTCGAGCTATAATTCTGCTCTCTGATTGCTTGAACTTCTTCCTCTTTTTCTGTCTATGGTCTGAGGTACCTCCTGTGAAACTTGAGTTCTAGGGCACTAGAGTTGAGAACCATCAGCATAACATACTTGTGATGCTATATTATACTTTATATTTCATGTTTTACGTACTTCACATGCTCTTGGCTATAGTATAGCTCTTGGCTGTTTCTCTACTTTATCTGTAGCTTCTGAAGCAGTTGGCACTTTTGAGATATTTTTTTACTTGGCTAATTATTACACTAAATCTTTTTATTTCTAAAGATACATGCTTTGGTTAAGCTTTCTAACATATTATTATTTTTATTTAGATTGGATCATTGCTATTCCATTGCTGACTCAGATGATGCATCATCACAGGACTTTGGTCCACAAGCATTCCAGCTATTATCAGCTGTGAATATCTTAGGAGGAATGTTTGGAATTGCAGTTCCAATTTTATTTCTCCGAGGTTCTGTAAGTGAATCTGTGAATCACCTTCATAGTTCTTCTTTTACTCCTATTACACTTTTCTTCAGAAGTTTACTGTATTATAGTTGTAGCTTTGGCTTTAGAGGAATTATTAGAAATTAGAAATTAGAGTCATATTAATTCATTGTGCCAATGGACAAGTGGAACAAAATTGTGTTTTTTGGTGCCCCAGAAAGTAGTAAATTCTTTGAGTAAAACTTTAATCTTAGTGATTATTTGTAAAAGTGATCTTTGGCCATGTGCGTATATATATCTATATCTATATCTGTTTATCTGTATCTCTCTGCCAATGAATAATTAGTTAATTCATCTACTTTTTTTTTTTTGAGTGATTAGTGTGCCAGCATTATGCTAACAATTACAGGTAAATATGAATAAATCACAACCCTTACAGTTAAACAGCTTTTTCTGGAGTCCTTTGTTTATATGATTTTATTCCTGATTTAGAAATCTGTAAAGCAAAGCTAAGTATTGCATATTAATATTAGTTGAATAAATCAAAAGTGGAATAGAATCCTTTACAAACATGTTTATTAAAAATGTACTCAAAAGTAGAGATTAAAATTCTCTCTTTGTATGTAGAATTTAAAAAATCATTTAGGTAAGCACTTATTTATTAAATACTTGAATGCTTCATGTAAATATTTTCTGAATTTTTATTTTGCTTAGAAAGGGACATATTAAATTAGTCAGTTATAAATATTTTCAGTGAAATGTGTTGAAAACATAAACTTTTTGAATACTGATGTTTTTAGATTCTGAATGGATTTTAAAATTCGTTTGATTAGAAATTTAATAATAGTGTTGACTAAGGACTTGGTTTTACCTGCAATGAGTTCTAATTTTTTTTTTTATAAAAGAATTTAAGGTTCAAGGGCTAGATTAAATATAATTGAGGTCTATAAAAATTTCTTCTGTCTTTGTCATCTTCAAAACCTGTGTACCCCAGTTGAATGTATAATTTGTAAAAATTATCCTTGTTTTAATTTGGTATAATCCAATAGTATCCAGTATCAACAAATAAGTGTAAGTGGACTCCTAGACAAACTTGGAGTGGTCACAAGAGGGATCAGGTTTCACCTATTATTTGAAAACCAAGTCAGACTGCTTGTACTGGCAGTCTCTTCTGGGAGTCTTCAAATTAAGAAGTTTATTCTTTGTGAAATTTTATACTACCCTTGCTAGATAAAGGCGTAAAACTTTTTTAAAAGTACCACTTAATGAAAATTTGTAGACATTAACTGCAGTGAAAAAGAGACAAGTTTTTTTTCTACCCTCAATTTCAGTGATCTTGGAATCTATTGGGATATTGTTTTAAAAATTGTAATTCCTTTGAGAATTTAGTAAATCATCCACCTTCACTAATTTAGACAAAATTAATCTTTGTAGATAATTTTGATCTGTAAGATGATAAATATCTTATACTGGGAACTTTTGGAGTTTATTTAAAGATAATATTTTTACATATATAGATAAAACAAATATAATTTCAGCAGCACATGATTCTCCTTTCTTACATAAGATTTTTCTAAGTAGCATAAATGATTATGTAGTTTATCCAGGTATTTGCGAATGGAATTTAAAACTTTGTTTTTAAAGCACAAGTTTAGTTAGAAATTAAATAGTGTAAATGTTGCCTAAGGAACTTTATTTTAGCTGTCTAAACAGCTCATCCCATAAATATCTTTAGATTCTGTGTGAATAAGTGATAAGATATGCAGTTATCTTATTTTTATAGATTAGAAAACAAAACCACAGTCATTAATTTGCATTACCAGGAGATTAAGCGAAACTTCTTTCCTGGTCACATTATCAAACTGCTACACCTCATCTATCATGGTGGCAGAATTAGATAACACTTTTAATAAAAGATGCTTTGACTACCATTGGAAAACTCTTGGTAGTTTTAATCACCCTTTATAATTTTCAAACTGTCTAATGTTAAATTTCTGCATAAGCTATTTCATTTGATTGAATTGTATTTCTAGATATCATTATTGTTACTTTATTTTTGGTTTTATTTTATACATATAATAACACCTCCAGAAATGACTACCTTAAGCTCTGAAGTAGCAGATGTAATCTTTTTTTGGCCTGTATGAACTGGGAAAGAGGCAGAAGGAAAAAAAAAGTAGTAAAAATGTAAATAGAAACTATGGATTTGTGTTGTAATTAAAGACCATAGTGATATAAAACTTTTCGAGTTAGCGTTTATTACTGTTTTTTCCACTAGTTATTAAACATATATTTTTATATAGAGCACTATACCGTTTTGTGGATAATCCAAAACTGAATTAGATCAGACTTATCATCTAGTGTAAAAGGTGTTAACTCAGGAAGAAATAAATATAGTGCAGCATAGAAAGAGATAAGGGACATATGAAGAGACATAAAGTAAAATTATTTAAGTCCTGAAATGAGAATGCTTGTTAACAGCTGGGAAATTAGAGAAGTCTTTGTGAAGGTATCACTGGAAGTTTCTATATTGTGGGCGATATAGTAGTAGATTTTGGTATTTAGAGAGGGAACGAGGGAAGAAAGATGGAGGAAATGTGGCATTCCCAAAAGAAAAAATCACCGCAAAAAGCAATTGTGATTTTTAAATAAGTTAATCCGGAGAAGTGACAAGTTTATTTGTTTCCTCTATCAGATAGTGGAGCAAAGATCTTGCTTTTATCAGGAAGTGATACTTTGGGTTATATACTCAAGCCAGTCAGCAGTCTTTATTCTAACACTTATCCATCAATTATTAGGTTTCCATGTTTCCCAATATACCAGTTTGGTGCCCCTTATTTTTCCAACCTTATTTTTAAAGGAAAAGAATGAGATGATAATTTCCCTTTTTGAGTACATTCCATAGAAGTATAAACTCTTAAGGCAAAGAGACTATTTAATCCTACAACATTATTTTACAGTGGTTGATACAGTGATTGGTACCAGAAAGTTAAATGACCTTTTCTAGGTCATACTGTTACTTTGTGCCAAAATAAGGATAAACAAGCAGCTTTCCAGACAACTATTCTAGTGCTTTTTCTATTTATTATGCAGTTCACATGCAATTTAAAATTTTCATTTTTGATAGAATGATCTAGATATGATAGAATGAAGATTTGTGATTGGTAAGGAATGTGTACGTAAAATTGTGCCCTCCTTAAAATCAACGCCCAAATCTCTGTATCTTCTATAGCAGCTTTCCGTCCGTGGTGATTGCTATGGAAACAAAACAATGTAAATTTATTCACACAGTATACAGTATTCACATGATTGTTGATTATGAAAGGAAGGGACAGTTACTCTCTACTGATTAGAAAAGAAAATCTCATTACTTCATACTAGTAAATGTGTTCATTCACTTCAGGTTTTTTTCTGAAAGGAAAGGCTAGAGGAATAATTTTTAGTGTCCAGGTTGCTAATAAGTATACTAGTTATGCAGCTAAATACCTTTGGCATGATTGGTTTGCAAGCAATAGAGTCTCTTTACTACAAATCTAAGCCCTGGAAGATGTTGTGTGCCAATACAAGTATTCCAGGGAAAACTGCCTAGACACTAAACTGTGCTTTTTGCTTTTGGATTAAGAAATTCAGGTTGAATTAAAGGATCAGCTGTTAACTAATAAAAACGAAGTTAATGTTATTGAGCCAGGCTCTGTCCTGGTTACTCAATCACCACAACATCCCTAAGAGATAGAAACATTATTCTTGTATAGCAGCTGAGGAAATAGAAGCACAGATAAGTTAAGTAACTTGCCCAGAGTCCAGAAGCTAGTAAGTACCAGAGTTCTGATTTGAACTCAGTTAGTCTTGCTGTACTAACTACAATCAGTGTATATGTATACATGTATATTTGTGTGTGTGTATCGTAATAAAAGATTAGAACTAATAGTCTGAAGGCCTGTGTTCTAATCCAAGCTCTTGGACCTTATTTTACCACTTAACATCTTTGAGCCTCTGATTATTTGTTAGCAATGTGAGTAAAAAATAACTAAGTAGATCAAAGAGTTCCAGCATTCCGTCCAGCTATGAAATTGTATAATGTTTGATTTTAAACATTCTACTCAAATCAACCCAAATTCAGTTAGCATAGGTAAGAATTGTTAACAAATTGGGTGCTTCTGTTTCTGTAAATCTTATTCTAATAAAATTTTGTAAATCATCATGCTACTAAAGTTTATTACTTATTAATTTTAATAAGAATTCTATTTCTATTTTTAAGATTTAATAGAATGCATGTTATAGATTCTGTTAACTAAACTTATTGGAAGCTCATGTTTCAAGCTCAGTATGTAGGCCCTGATGTGTCTCTGATTGAAATGTATCCTAATTTAATCTTATTTCAGCCTAGATTTCCTTTGTATGAGGGATTAGCTTTATTTAGGCAATTTCACTTGTATTCATATTTCTCACATTCCAAAATGATAAAATTGTAACTAGAATATTCGTATCAGTTGAATAAAACCAATACATTTGTAATTGAGAGCCTTATAGTGCCTCAGTTATGTCTGTTGAAACTCATCCTATAAATTTGTTTGATCTTGATCCTTGGATTTTTATATGTGTTGATTGTTAAACCTACAATAGAGTATAGATGAAATGTAAAAATGTTGAATGACAAGTTGTGCCTCTTTCTAAAAATTTAGACTGCATTTTATATTGAAATATTTAGAATACAGTAACCTCTTGACATATTCAAGAGACAAAAACATGAATATAGCCTAAAATACACTGTTTATATTAGAAAGCTCATAATCACTCTAAGTAATTTAAACAGAAAGGTACTTATTATTACTGGATATTAAATAGCTTATAATTTAATAAGATTATACTGCAAAATAGTCCACTGCTGCCTCTTCTGTGATCAAGAAGCCATCTGTCAATTCGGGAAGCTTTCACTACCCCACCTGACCCCAAGCTGCACTATACAGGGAGCTGTAACAATCAGGAACGTTCTACTTTTGCTTGCTCTGGGAACCCCCCTGAACCTGCTATAATCTGTATCAACAAAACGGATGCTTCTTAGTACTTAGGAAGGTAGTAGTTATATATTGGATTCTTTGCTCACACTTTCTTGTAAAAAGCAAATACCTCCACAGTCATGCACCTGCAAAAATAGCCAGAGGAGCAGCCTTACTTCACTTCCTGCTTACAGATGTCATATAAGTGCCTCTGATTAGTGAAACTTAAATTATATTCAGAACTCTAGCTGAAAGGGAGTTTGAGAAATAGTGTTTGTAACTTCCCATATTCTGTGGTAGAAGACTAACAGTGGATGAAGGTTAGAATGACCTTTGAATTACAGTCTGCCATATTCACCAGAAATACGTTAGATAGGAGCAATTTTCCATAAAGCCCTACATATACTACTATATGCATTTGAAAGTAGTATATACTGTGTAAGATGAATGAGAGAGGTAGTTAGAGGGCAAAGCGAATGGAAAAGTACGTTATAGAGAGTGAAGGTAGGGAGAGTCATCTCCATTAGAGAACAAGAGAATTGCATGACAGATAAGCTTCCCCAACATTTCTAGAACTTGATGGCTATGAAGAATCTCTCATCGGAATCTTCTCTTCACTTAGGAAAAAATATCTCAAAAGCAGCAACTGTTTAGCATGCATCTGCTTTTTCTGATATATCTGAGTGAATCAGCTAAATCAGAAATGATGAAGTAAACTTTGCAGTGCATTACGAACAATAGCACAATCATCAAAAGCACAATCATCTTCAAAAAACAGGTGCATGCTAAACAGTTGCTGCTTTTGAGATATTTTTCCTAAGTAAAGAGAGGATTCTGATGGGAGATTCTTCATAGCCATCAAGTTCCAGAAATGGTGCGGCAAGATACAAATTTAACATTCAGAAATGTGTTGCATTTTTATCTACCAATGATAAACTTTCAGAAAGAGAAATTAAGAAAACAATCCCATTTACAGTTGCATCGAGAACAATAAAATATGTGGGAATCAAATTAGCCAAGGAGCTAAAAGACCTGTTCTCAGAAAATTATGTCATTGAAAAAAGAAATTGAAGAAGATACAAATAAATAGAAGCATATACTGTGCTCATGTGTAGGAAGAATCAACATCATTAAAGTGGCCCTACTACCGAAAGCAATCTATAGATTCCGTACAGTCCCTATCAAAATACCAATGGCATTTTTCAGAGAGCTAGAACAAATAATTCTAAAATTTATATGGAACCGTAAAAGACCCTGAATAGCCACAGCAATCTTGAGAATGAAGAACAAAGTTGGAGGTATCACACTAAGTGATATCGAACTATACTACAAGGCTACAGTAATCAAAACAGCATAGTACTGGCATAAAAACAGATAGATTGATCAATGGAACAGAAGAGAGAGCCCAGAAATAAATCTATGCCTATACGTTCATTTAATATATGACAAAGGTGGCAAGAATATACAATGGGGTAAAAACAGACTCTTCAATAAATGGTGTTGGGAAAATTGGACAGATACACTCAAAAAAGTGAAACTGGACCACCTTCTTACACTGTATACAAGAATAGACTCAAAATGGATTAAAGACTTAAATATAAGATCTGAAACCATAAAACTTCTAGAAGAAAACATAGGCAGTAATCTCTGATATTGCTACTAGTAATTTCTTTTCAGACATATCTCCTTGGGCAAGGGAAACAAAAGAAAAAAATAAACAAATGGGACTACATCAAACTGAAAAGTTTTTGGACAGCAAGGAAACCATCAACAAAATGAAAACACAAACTTACTAATTGGGAGAAGATATTCATTTATGATACATCTGATAAGGGATTAATACCCAAAATATATAAAGAATTATATAACTCAACTACAAAGAAAAAAACAAACAATCCAATTAAAAAAGGACAGAAGACCTGAATAGATATTTCTCCAAAGAGGAAATGCAGATTGAAAAGATGCTCAAGGTCACTAATCATCAGAGAAATGCAAATTAAAACCACAATGAGAAATCACCTGACACCTGTCAGAATGGGTGTCATCAATAAATCAAAGAACAGCAAGTGCTGGCAAGGATGTGGAGAAAAGGTTACTCTAACACACTGTTGATGAGATTGCAAATTGGTATAGCCACAATGGAAAACAGTCTGGAGGTTACTCAAAAAATTAATAATGGATCTACCTTTTAACCGAGAAATTGTACTTCTGCCTTTTAACCAAGAAATTATATTTATCCAAGGAAAACCAAAACAATAATTTGTAAAGATTTATGCATCCCTATGTTCATGGCAGTGCTGTTTTCAATAGCTAAGATACGGAAGCAACCTAAATGCCCATCAACAGACGACTGGATAAAGAAGGTATAGTTCATATATACAATGGAATATTACTCAGCCATAAAAACAAGTGAAATCCTACCATTCTCAATGACTTGGATGGACCCAGAGGTTAGTATGCTGAGTGAAATAAGTCAGAAAGATAAATACCATTTGATTTCACTTGTATGTAGAATCTGAGGAACAAAAAGAACAAACTAATCAAAAACAGACTCACAAATATAGAGGACAATCTGGTGACGGCCAGAGGGGAAGGGGGTTGAGGGACTGGGAGAATGGGGTGAAGGCTTGAGGAAGTAAAAATTAGTAGTTGATAGATGGTGACGGGGATGGGGAGCACGACATAGGAAATGTAGTCAGCAGTAATGTAATGGCTAGGTGTAGAGGCAGAGGACAGAAAGATTATTTTATAAACTATTTAAATGTCTAACCAATGTACTGTATACTTGACACTAATAATAAAATTTTAAAAACCAGCACAATAACAACAACTATGCAGTGGAGACTGAGTTGTTGCGCTACGCTCACTGGTTACTAGCTGTTGGGTCACGCTGCCTTCTAACACCTGTGCTTCTAGTCTAGAGCTGTAGATTACAATCATTAATGTGAGGATGTTCATAAAAGGTGTAAACAGCAAAGGTTAAATATTCCAAACATATCCAGACCTATACATTGGGAAATGCATGTGAATTGTATGTGAACTTTCCTGCCATTATTTTTAAAACACAGAAGGAACACTATTTTTATTATATATTTATTCGTGACTTAACTATTCAGAGCAAACCGGATGGGTATAAAATCTTGTTGGTTCTTAAAGCTGAAATATAGTGTTAAATTCAAAGAATCAATAGTTGGTTTTATGTTTTACTTCCTTTTTAATTAAATAAGCATTTTAAGATATTGATTTTATTCCTAATTTCAGAATTCTCAGCGTCTTCCGGATAAATATCGCAGTCACAGTTTCTTTGGCACTGGCAAGGATCAAACAGAGAGTTGGTGGAAGGCTTTGTTCCATCACCTCCTAACTGAGGGATTCTTGGTAGAACATTCTGGGGGTAGCAAATTTGCAAAGATTTGCACTCTCACAAACAAGGTAAACAATGTAGAAGTCTACCTTTTTGATATAATTTTTCTCACTCTGTATTAAAAGATTCTTTTTGTGTTCAATAGGGTAGAAGTTGGCTTCATAAAGCCAATACAGAATCTCCTCAGAGACTTATTCTTCAAGCTAATGAAGAATTGTGTCCAAGACAATTTCTTCTATCAAGGTTAATTTTTCAGTTTTTTTGTAACTTCTGGGTTTTTTTTGTTGTTGTTTAAATGATTGTTGTTCTTTACATTATTCAAATTATATTCAATTTACAGGTACCACACAGGTAAAATGTGTAAAGATACTGTTTTTGCATATCTTTTTTAGTCAGGTTGGGGTATATGTTAGTGGGATAAGGATAAATCTCAAAACACTTTTCTTGGTTGATGGAAAGTGGTTGAATATAATATTTAGAAAGCTGCTTTCCCATTGATTAAAGAAGCAGCATTGAGATCAGTGTTGAAGAATCCATATACCGTATTTCCTTTTTAAATGTAGAAGTTGGGAAGGTAGTACATTTGTTACCTACTTTTTAGTACCTTTACGTGTTATCAATCATTTATCAGTTTTTTAAATTGAGATATAATTGATATAACGTTGTGTAAGATGAAGTGTACAACATTTTGGTTTGATATGTTTATCTAGTGCAATATGATTACTACAGTAGCTTTAGCTGACACTTATATAAGGTCACATAATTCTTTTTTGTGTTGAGAACAATTAAGATCTTATCTAGTCTGTTCCCAACTTCAAAGTTATAGGTATTGTTGACTATAATCGCTATGTTGAGCATTAGATTGATTATCAGTTTTTTTTTAAATCTAAAAAAATTTAAACAGTTTTATACTTAAACTTTAAACAGCTTTAGTTCTTTCCGGAGATTTATCTGGAAAAAAAAATCAGTTTTAAAAATCATCAGTTCTAAAAGAGTAATCACATCTGCCTTTCTAAGAATTGGAGGTATTTTGATTCATATATTACATAATTACATTTCAACATTTATGATAATATATTATTTTTCAGATCTAAAACTGTGTCTTTGGGCACTGAACAGCATTCTTCCAATCAAGTAACAATTGAATTAACTGCAAAGGATAAGGTTTGTTTTTATTAAAGAGGTGGTTCTTATTTATTTTATTTTTATTCCTGTTATTCCTGTTTAAAAAATTTATATTTCATTTTCCCTCCAACTAAAGAGGAAAATGCCATATATAACAAAACATAAAATTTGGAAAGAGAAGTGATAATGAACAGAATAAAATTGTGGTATATGATTTCTGGATTAATAAAACAGTTAGTAGAATTTGAAAAAGTAAATTATTTTGATTCTTTTAAACCTACTTTATAACTCTTTTGGCTTGGAATTGGTTTTTTTTTTTTTTTTTTTTGAGAGGCATATTATGATACTTATAGTTGATAGAAAAATAAGCCTGATTCCTAAATGTTCACATTAAAGTCACATGTGTGCACACATGAAAACACATACACACACACACACACACACACACACATTTTCTTGCTTTGTTTTTGGATCTTAGGTGACTGTTACAGATAAATACTTACCCATAGGCAGACTTCAGCTAATTAAAACACTGGAGTAATAGACAAAAATGCTGAATTAAATTTTCAGGTGAACTTTTTCTGCTTTATTCAAGTATGTGGAATGTAATTGAATCATCTTTGTAACTTGGGCTCCTGCTATGTCTCAAAGAATTCTTTTGATCATAGATTTTCTACAGATTTGGGAGGAATGGGACATTATGTTGCATTTCTAACTGCTTTTAGAACCCTAGAAATTCGTAATTCACGAGCTTATTTTCAAGTGATTTATTTGATGACTTGGTTAGAGGAAAAATTGTCATTGTGAGATGTTGTACTTATTTTCTTCATACTTAAAAGTTTTTCGAAACTTCTAATTTTTTAAAATTAACCTTTATATGTTTAAAAGCAGTCTAACTTGGAGAAGATGTATTCCTACAAAACATATGATGAAATTTCTTCTGCGAGTGACTTTCCTAAAAAAAGGTATGGAGTTCAAATTTTTTATTTTCTATACTTACCAACACTTTTTTTCTTTCTTTCCTAAAGAGGAAGGTCTATCATATGTTGGTCCATTTCATTGGCAAAAGAAAGTTAAAGTTAAGGCATAAGCTTCCAATGTTATAATTATTAAAGCAGACCTATAAAATGATAGTATTAATATTAATTTAATAGCTAATACGTCTTGGATATTATTGTTTGCCAGGCTCTATGCTAAGTGCTAAGCATTTTATATGCAATATTCAATTCTTACAACAACCTATAAGTTAGCTACTATTATTTATTGCTGTTTTATAGTTGAAGATACCAGTGTTTAAAAAGTTAACTTGTTCAAAAGAACATACAGCTAATGGCAGAGCTGACTTTCAGATCTATATTTGTCAGGCTCTAGCATCTAAACACTAATTATTTGTATTTGTAAGAAATATGCATTCTCACTCCATTTTTTAAGAAAGATTTTATGGCAACATAAAATGGTAGGTATTAGAGTTGGTGGAGAAAAAAGGTAGTGTACCTCTTGGACTTTCACATTTAATATTTGACTTGCTGACTTAATAAAAGTGTAGAGAATATACAGAATTATAGATGAGGAATTTGAAAAACTTGTCAGGACCTACATATAGATTAAATAGGCTATGTTTACATACATATCAGATAAAAGTAAGTTAACGTGCTCTAATAATAGCTTTCTAATTGTTTGCTCACTTATATAGTTAATACTACTTTGGATCTGATAGAGACATTTATCGTACCCCAGTCTCCCACCCCAGACAGTTTTTTTGTTTGGATATGTAGTATGTGATTACTGTGTTTTATGTAAACAAAAGGCTTAAGGAGTATACAAAACAATATATTCATTCTATATGCTGAAGCATTTCTTTACTTAAACATTTATTGTGTTTTTACTAGGAATCTTCTTTGTGCTAGGTACTATTTTAGACACTGTGATTCAGTGGGGAATAATAGAAACATAGCCACTGGCTCTCGAGCTAGAGTTTATATTCTAGTGGAGTATACAGGTAAAGGAACATAAAATTACTATCTAGAGTTATAACAGTTTGGAAACACATTTTGGAAGTGACACTTGAGACTTAAGTAGAAGTTAGTCAGATGAAGTGAGGGGAAGTTTTCTAAGCAAAGGAATGCCCTATATACTAAAACCTCAAAGCAAGAGATGGTATGACATGATCGAGGAACTCAACAGTATAGTAGTGATTACCTGGTAGAGGGACACGGGACTAGTAAAAGTTAAGACTAGAGAATTAAATAGGGCCTAGAATATCTAGTTCATTTTAAGCACTTAAGTTGATCTTAAAGGCAATTTGGAGCTAAGGAAGTATTTTAAGAACAGTGACACAATCAAATTTATGATTGAGAACAGGGGTTGACAAATGTTTTCTGTAAAGGATTAGATAGTTTAGGCTTTGAGGGCCAAGTGGTTTGTCTCAACTGCTCAGCTTTGCTTTTGTAGCCTCACAGCAGCCATAGATGATATGTAAACGAATGAGTGTGGCTGTGTTCCAATAAAACTTTATTTATGGACTCTGAAATTTGAATTTCATATAATTTTCACGTCACAGAATGTTCTTTTGATTTTTTTTAACCATTTAAACATATAAAAGATCATTTTTAGCTTATAAGCCTTACCAGAACAGATGGATTTGGCTTGTGCATCTTAGTGAGCAGACTCCTGACTGATGACGTACGATGGCGGGAATGGATGTCAGGAGGATCAGTGTAGTAGAGACATCAAAAAGGAGGGTATTGAAGTAGCATTTGCAAGAGTTGATGGTAGTTTTCATGAGGGAAGTGGCAGTGGGCATGGAGAGAAATAGATTTGTAAGATAGTTAACAGAATTGTTAGGATTTGGTGGTTGAAAAGATAGGTGGGTTAAGGAAAATAGAAGACTTGAACACGATGCTTAAGTTTCTGTTTTGATTGCAGGTGAAGAGTCTTGTCATTCCCTTCACTGGACAATTTTAGAGGAAGACAGACTTGATGAGTTGGATGTTTAAGGGTTAAAATTAGGAGTTTAGTGATATACTGAGTTTGAGGTACTTGTGGAGTGGTCCAGAAATTAATTTTACCATATGGGCTTAGTGTATAGAAGTGAGAAAGATGCTTACCTATCAATAACTATTATTTTAAAGTCCATTTGAATTTTCATTAAAATAATACATGTACATGGTTTTAGAGTCAGTTGATACCTAAAGGGATATAACAAAGTATACCAGTTCACATCCTTCCCAAAACCCACTCTGTTCGAGTCTATAAAAACAATCACCCTCAATCTTCTGACTGGTTTCTCTGGTATTTGTCAGTAGTCTATTTCTAAGTGACATGCTTAGATTACTATTTTTTGACTTACTGGTTTTAGAAATTTTCTGTTGACATCCTATAATGGTAGGTTAGGGCTTATCTCTCATATCCTCTTCCCTCCTGTCCCCTCTTCCAATACCCCCCAACATAATTATATTTCAAATTTGGTCATGTTAATAATTTATTTTTACATTATATTTACTCAAATATTATATACTACTAAGCCAAACTGTATTATGATGGCTGCCACTACCTTAATTTTTCTTGATGTTAATAATTGTCTTTTTTGTTTTCTTTGCTTGGTTTTTAGTGTTCCTATTATTAATTTTTCTTCTATTTTCAGTCTCTTGTTTGTTTACTCTCTTGGAGAGTTCCTTGACTTTATATCCCCTCCCACCTAGGGAAATTTTAATTTTTAGTTATCAATTTAGTTTCTATGAACAATTTCTCATTCTTCTTTCTTTAATATATAACAGTTTTTTCTTGTTTCATGGATACAATATCTCCACTTATCTCTTTGATGACATACATTATAGTTATTCTCAACTTCTTTTCATTGGTAATAGCATTCATAGGCAAAGCATTTTTTATTAAACATTTCCACATGTATTTAGGCTTTAGGGACATTTTACCCAGAATTTTGCCAGTTATATATGATGATAAAATTTATTTGTGAAATAATTTAAAATACCACTTGCAAATAGTACATTAATATAAAGATGTCCATAAATGGTAAGATAAAGGTTAGTATAATTATTTAAAACAAATTTCTAATTGTCTTGGGCAACCTGATATTACTAATTCTTTGAACTGGAGTTATCCTTTGTTGAGTTCAAATTTATTTAATTTTAGCAACGGGATTTGATAACTGAAAATGAAATCTTACTTTATACTGTAGATTTTGAATTCTTGAAACAAATTTATAAACATTTCTTAAATATCAAACATGTTTTCCCCTTCCCATCCCTCAAAGCATGAATTTATTTAAATATGGCATCTTTTATATAGGCTGTTCTATATATACAATTGCATTTTTATAACTTTTCCACTATATGATTAATCAATGAGAAATGCTGCTTGTAGAAATTGTTATTTTTATCTAGTTTGTTGCCTAGCACCTTTTTATATACCAAGTTGTTTGCCAGTTGTGTGTTTTCATTCTTCTTTTTAGAAGTTATTAGCATGGATTATTTTCGTTTGTTTGATTTTGAAGAACAGTGTGAATAATTCGATTAATCTCATGCTAATGTTCCTCACACACACACACAAAAATAGTGCTATCACAGCAAAGAATAGATTGTATCCATCTTGGCTAAAAAAAAAAGTTATTTTACTTCCGTGCAGAGAAGGAGTATTTTCCTTCAAAGCATTTGGTTGATGAGGAGGATGGGGCAAATGCTAATCTTAAGTACACCAATTTTAAAACTCAAATTACAGTTTTAACTTTACCATTATAATGAATATACTTGATCCAAAATGTTTCAAATCTAGACTGTCATATAAGTAACATTGGCTTATTGGTATTGGGAAGAATAAATGTTAGTATAGACTTGGAAATCTTCTCATTTTGGGGTGAAATAAAAAGTGAATTTGGAGAAAGAAAAGCTTTTATTAATTTTTTTCTTTTAAATATTTTAGCATCATGCTGCAATCACCAGGAAAATCTTACAATTCCTCAGAACTTGTTATTTCATCTAAAGAGCAGGAGACTCAGGTACGGCATTTATAAAGAGGCAGTTAGTTTTTGAGAGGATGATTATGATTTTATGCATGCTTAAAATTCTGTTGCCAGCATTTTGAAAATTGTTCTTCAATTGAGTCTGAGATAGTGTTCAGTTTATTTTTCATCCTAAAGGAAAATAGTATCAGAAACTCTAAAAATAAAGGATTGGATTTTTCTAAGTATACTTTTAAAAATGTTGAGTTGTTTCTTTGTTCTTTGTTCTTTGTTCAGACTATGTTATATGGCAAATTGGTAGAAAGTAGGCAGAAATATGCCAGTAAAATGGATGTTCCTCCCGCTATTCTGGCAACAAATAAGATACTGGTGGATATGGCCAAAATAAGGTAAGCTGTCTATTTGTTTATATTTTAACTTAATTTTCTTTTAATGTAATAGATTTGTAAAACTTATCTTAAGTGATGACAATGGCTCCAGCTGTCACATCTGTTGATGGCTCCCAAATATCTTATGCTGCTACCAGTTCCTTTACTGAGCTTTAGTCCCATGTTTCTATGTGAATGAAAACCAACTGTTTCAGCAATCAGATCTAGTACATAAAAAAATCTAAGTCATTATCCACTAACCCTCCATACATGCATTTCATACAAATGCCAAAACTTTTCTTTCTGAATTCTTTGTTTTTATTAGCCATACTATGATGTTCCCAATAATGCATGTTTAAAACCTCTGATATTATTTTCACTCCTCTAACATATATCCCCTTCTTCCTCTTATTTAAGTAGTTTTTAGACTTTTTCATGTAAATGTTCCTTGTGTGTCTGTCTGTGCCTTCCTCCCGCTTTTTATTAATACCCTGTTAGCTCAGGCAGTTACCCTTGGCCTATTGCAAAAGACTTTTAACTAGTTACTCTTTCCTCAGCCTGTGCCTACCTGACCCTCCCCTTCTCTTTCATCTCATATGTAAATACCAAATTAATCTTTATTATGTTGCACTTCTGCCTAACTAGTTTCCACTATCTTAATTTCTTTCACTTAAGGCCCTACATTTATGGACTTAAACCTACTTTTTCATCTATATCACAGAATTTTAAATGGTTTATCTTACTTAGGTTTTTCACCATTTGTTGAAGACCCTTTTTCAATTTCTACATGCTTATTCACAATGTTTCTTCTGTCCTGTAGTTTCCTTGAGTCCCCAAAACTCCTATTAGGAAATCCTTCAAGATCTGGCTTTATTATTATTTTCTCTGTGAAGTCTTCCATGTTCTTATTATCAAAGTAATTCCTCTCTTTGGTATTCATAAAGAACTTTGAAATAAATATAAATTTTAAAGATGTTCATATGGCACTTATCACATTGCTTTTTTTTTTTGTTATTATTAACATATAGGCGCTATATCTTCTAGACTTTAAACTCTGTGAATAATGATATAATGTTCCTCATCTTTTAGTTTCTTCCAAAGCACCTAACAGAATGCCTAATAAGCACTGTGTGGTCAATAAATATATGGAAGAAATTATTTCCAAAGTATAGTTTCTTGGTAATTTTATTTGTCTCTTATACGTAAAAAAAAAAAAGTCACTAAATTTCATCCAAGAGATGTTTTATTAGTGTAATAATATTACATAGTGCTTATATCTTATAATAATTATTTCATTAAAAATATGCAGAAAACATTTTAACATTCCATGAAGATATTTAAAGGAAAAGGAGTAATCATTAAATTGGCAGATTGTTAGAAAGAAGACATCATACAGTCTCTTGGGTATTGGACACAATAAGAAACATTGAGTTAAAAGACTAAAGTAGTTAGGTTTATTGTTACAGGTAAACACTTTTTAAATATTGAATGATATTTCTTCTGAGTTTCTTGGCCTCTTAGTTGTCCTCAGTACCTCACAGTTTTTCTTTTCATTTCTATAAAAATAATAATAATGATAAAATCAGTCATAGAGTAGTACATTAGTCTATTTTTTTATGATGATGACCTGTTTACCAGGTAGTATTATTCTACAAATTGAAACCATTTATTAAGGAAACAAATTAATAAACTTTAATGTGTATTAAGCCAGCTTTGTTATTTACCACTTTCACTAAACTTTTAATATATTTACTTAAAATTTTTTATTTGCAAAGTTTTTATTCATAAATTGCTGAACAGCCCATCTTTAAATGGTGGAAAGCAAAGAAAGGCATTATAAAATGATGTTACTTGTATTATACATTGTTTTTGGTTGTTGGAAAAAACATGTTTATTGAGTTTCACTATGAAGCTAAACAGTTATGCTGCCGGAGTGATATGTTTCAGTGGTTTCTTGACTTAAAATTTTTTTTAAATGACAGACCTACTACAGTTGAAAATGTGAAAAGGATCGATGGTGTTTCCGAAGGCAAAGCTATTATGTTGGCCCCTCTCTTGGAAGTCATCAAACATTTCTGTCAAGTAAATAGTATTCAGGTAAAATACTGTGGCTTGCAGGAGTTATGAGAGAATAAACATTTTTGATAATTTCAAAAACACCCTTCAAAAGCAACATTGTCTCCCTTTATTTTCATTTCCACACTGGATACTTAGAAAATGAATTCCAATGGTTTCTATAGTAAATCAGTTATAAGAACATGCCAGTTACCTAATTTTTAAGATGATACTACAGTAGTTGTCCAGACTATTTATGTCTTTCTGTTTTGTTGGGAGTTTCTGTTTTAACATTTGAATAAATCCTGTATTTTAGGTTGATAAATTAGAAATTAAAACTGCAAAGTTATCCTTGCTTTAGTTGGTAAGGAGCCCAGCCACTCTGTTTTTCTGTCTGTTATATTCCCTAATTAAGCTTCTATTCCAGTAATGGTGTGTTTTGATATTAAGTAGGTTTCATGGTATTCTCTTCAGTCTTAATTGTATTTTCTTCTTATCCTTTTATTTTTGCCCCACCACACATGAACATTGCCCCACCACATATGAACATTTCTCTTTAAACTCCACTACGCTGTATATTCCAGCACAGAAGGTGATTGGATCCCACTTTAGGAATGAATCATTCTCTAAGTAGAAAACTCTTCTGCTTTTTGTGTGTAACATTTCCCTCTTTTGATACAGAATATCTTTGGCAACTTGAAATTTTCTTTTTATACTTTTATACAAGACGTGAAAATTCCTTATATTTCATATTGAATATTTTGAAAATGAAATTGTTATTTTTTAATAATTTGATAAAGAATATCATACTTATCAGTGGTAATTGAATAAGTCTTCTCTCTTTGGACACTGGATAATAGAATCTTCTTTCATGATCTTCTTTCATGAATTAGTAGTACTATTTAATAGTGAAAGATTTATCCCTTCCGACATCTCTTCAGGAGAGGACATTGAAGTAGAGCAAAATGTCAATGCTCCAAAGGATAAATATGAAACTTTTTGAACTTTCTGGTTAGAGAAAGTGACTGCTGATTTCTATGGTTAGGAATTATGCCCAGATTATTCTGCAAATTGAAACCATTTATTAAAGAAATGAATTAATAAACTTTAATGTGTATTAAGCTAGCTTTGTTATTCACCACTTTCATTAAACTTTTAATACATTTACTTAAAATATCAAAGTAAAACTTTGAAATATGAGGATGTGGGTATTAAACCCATTAAAACTTAGGAAAAAGGTTAAAATCATTTTATAGAAATACATTTTATGAGAATTATGTTTTTAAAATGTTCACCCCTTCAAAGATGAATTCATAGTTGGCAGCTACTTAAAAAAGCTTCAAAAGAGATGGACAGCTGTTTTGTTTCTTAACTATATATAAAAAATAGATCAAAACAGCATACATACTGTAATCATAGTAACACCTATAACAAATTTAAAAAGTTAGAGCTTAGTCCCTTGATGAATAATAATTGATATCATTTTAATGAAGTTATTATTGTGGTCCATTATATTACGTGTTGCTATATAAAGAAGAATATTTATGAGCTTTTCTTGGGAAATAAATTTATTTTTATATCCATATCCTATCATTCAAGAATTTTAATTAAAAATTATATTAGTTGAATATTGGTTTACTGCTTGGTGAAAAATAGAAATGTTTCTGTTTGACTTTTTTTATGTCATATGTATGATGCCTAATTTTAGAATTTGAATTATCTGACCCAAGGATAAAAACCTTTTTCGCATTTCTTTGCATATGGGATAATATCAGTGCTATACTCTCTCATTAATACAAAATTCCAGAAAATATGTGTTCCATCCCGATGCATGTTTTCTAGAAAGTGCAATACAGAGTTATTCTGAAGCTTTAAAATTACATAATTCCAGTTAAATAACGCTACATAATTCCAGTTAAATAACGCTAATGGTAGGAATTTGGTGTTCTGAGCATATAGTACACCTAAATAAAACATAGCCAGGTGTTATATTTGTTTCTATTTTAAAGCTTCAGAATAACTCTGTATTGCACTTTCTAGAAAACATGCATCAGAATGGAACACATATTTTCTGGGGAAGCCTAGCTGGCTGCTCACAAATGTGACATTTGTCATGGTCTAGGCTATGGCTTCCGTCTTCGTCCTTGAAATCCTGAAAGTCTGAATGTGTTGTCATGGAATAGTTGCGTTTTTGGGAGTAGATTGCAATATCCTCTGTGAACTTGGTTTTATGTATAGTGTGTATATGTATGTAAATATGTATATATTAGAGTACAAATTCATTTATAGTGAGACATATAACTGGAAAGTTTCACTTGACCCAATCAGTGCGTTTTCCTCTATAGAAGAAGGTATATAGGAAACTGGCTTATCTGAAAGTTGTTTAGTGAGCCAAGAATATAAAAGGGAAATTCTGATAGTGTCTGAACTAGTCTCTCAGCAACAAAGGCAGGTTGAGGCATTCTCATACACTACTTGCCAAAGAAACTGTAATATTCAAATCTAGTGAGCTGAGCCAAGACATCTTCTCATCTGAACAGTGCTTGGATTGGCATTGCCTACTTTTGTTTTTCTGTCTTTTCTATGTATATGTTTCAGTAATTGAACACTGTCTGTTCATATAGTCTTTTATCTACAAAGAGCATGGTTTGATTAGATTATTGTTTATAAGACTCATATTCTAGCCCTACCTTCTCGAGATTATTATTCTCATATTACTTTGCCGAGTGTTTTGGATGTTCCCAGACCCTTTAGTTGCACATTTATAGATGATTTAATGATTTTGTCCCATAAACCCTAAAATCTTTATGGATTTGTCAGTGTAACTCACAGTGGTCACATCTCCAAGGCCTTGGTGAGGGGATATCCCATTGTTGCCTCCAGGTATAGCCTACACTTTAATCCTCAGCATTCTGGCTAATGGAGTTTGTTTTAGGCATTCCTAGAAATTTAAGGCCAAATTTGACCATGCTAAGGTCTCAGATGGAAACACTTCATTTTCATTTACTAAACAGTGTTCTTCCTTGAAAATCTAGGAGAGCCTAGAAACAACCTGTAGACCTTAGGTCTTATGGTGTTGCTTGGCTTCTCTGTTCACCATGCTGCGGTTGTCCAGGTATCTGAACTTTGCCGCAGACTCACCTTTTGTTAAGGGTAGGAATGGACTAGTGTGGGTTACAATAAGCCAGATTCTGTTGGATTTAATTATTTTAATTTAGTATTGGTTCTTGTGTTTTAGAAGGTAAAATCGGCATTTTGGAAAGAAACTATTCACATATCTATGTTAATCATACAGCATGTAATTCTATCATAACTATCACTTTGTCTTTACCTTTATTTCAGGCTTTAAAAAAATTCCAGTATTTTTCCATTATCTTATTATTCAGTCCTTCCCCCTGTATTTTTTCTTTCAAACATCTCTTAAACGACCATATTTAAGAATTTACATAATGCTTCAAATTTAGAGCCAAGTGTATCTTTTTAAACTATATGTATATAGTTATGATATATTCACTTATGACATATTAGCAGAATTTGTGGTTATAGTACCTAGATATGAATATTAATTCTTTTTATTCATTCAATATTCACTTCCAGAGGGTTAGGGGACTTATTTAGAGGTAGGATGGTCCACATTATAGTTCATTTTTATTCTCTCTTATTGGCTAAAGGGAAGACTAGGAATTTCTATTTCTATAACCGTGTTTATTATAAGTATTTATTAAAAAATTATTCCCTCTAGCCTTATTTTACCCTTTTAAATCAATATGTAAAACAACAACAATAAAAAACCTTTTTGAGCTCATCATGAAAGGAATTTTTGACTGTTCCTTAGAGGTTTTATGTAATTTTTTCCCCTAATGCTTAATGATCATATTGATAGTCTACTTGTTATCATATTGATATTGTTATTAATCATCTGTGCTACATTTAAAATTTTGTAGACAGACCTCTTTTCAAGTTCAAAACCTCAAGAAGAACAGAAGAAAAGTCTGGAGGCAAAAAACACAGCATGCCCACTTTCACAGTCTGAGGCCATCACATATTCTTTATTCCAAGAAAAAAAGATGTCTATGGTAAGTGTTACTTTTAAGTTAGAGGGAATTTTAAAATTTATCTAAATATGTATTTCATCAGCTTTGCAATATTAAGGTTTTGATGGGATAAATTTCTTCTAATCCTACAATATTTTAAGTTGTTTCGTTTTACATTTAGTTTTGGAACAGAATGTTATTTTCTTTTTCTGATAAGCCTATCTCTGTCAATTAAGTAAAAACAAGTATAGTTTGACCATGATTATCTTATAGAGGTTGTATCAGAGGTAGAGGTACTGATAAACACATATATAAAGCAGTATATTTTAAGACTATTTAAAAAAAATCAGATTAATAGTTAAAAACAATTGGTATCTATATTTATAAGAAATAATATCTAAGATACATTATTAAGAAAAAAAGAAGGCTGCAGAACAGTGTGAAAAACAAACTGTGGAAAAAAGGTATATCTTAGTGGAATAGGGACAGAATGAAGCTTCTAGATAAGTTTAACTAAATTGAATTTCCTATCCTCTATTAAATTGATTTGGAGCAGGCTATATGGTCCAGTGCCTGCTTTTCCTATTCTGTGTCTCCATCCACTAGGCCAGATTACATACTTTTTATTCTGATTAATGTCCAATATAAATAAGAATAAATAGTTCATAGCTTGTCTTAATTACTTAATAGATGTTCTCATTAGATAGTCAAATTCCTTAATTAAAAGTACAAAAGCCATTACACAGGAAACCCAATAATTCCATTGTACTATTTTTGAAACATTACATGACATGTAGGAATTTAAGTTTAGTCTTTTAAATTGTAACTTAAATGTACATGTTAAATATGCTTGTATACACATAATTTGACCACATATGTGTGTTATAATTAAATATAGTTACTAAGAAAATTTGATATGGTTTCCAAGTTTTCTGAATAAAGTGCATGTTGATACTCAGTCATCATATGAGGTTTCATGTATTACATTAACATATGGTTAAAAATGTGAAGAGTAGTATATCTTCATTTATGTCTTTTGCTAATATTTGGTTGTATGTTATTGTGTAATATCATGGTAATTATCTCTACCTCCCAGGAGTCCGAGAGGGTCTTGCCAGTTAACCACAGAATTAAACATGCCTAAGGACTAATTAATCAGGAGCAATAATGCAATTAGTTTTAGGTAATTTGATGCCTGGTATCAAATAACCCTGGTATTATGCACACATGGTGTACACTATTTAGTAGAAAAGGGTAGACATTTAATGAAAGTAATTTAAAACCTACTTTTGAAGGATGAAAATATTGCTTTAAATGCTCTATTCTATGAAAGTATCAGCATTCACACAAATACAGTTTAAATTAAGACTCTGAAGATGTATGAAAGAGAGTATCATGAAATAATTTAGAGCTGAGTGACTAACTCTGAGTGTTTAAAAGAATGTTTTATCTAATATATATCTTAAATGGATTTGGAGCTAACTTTGTTAAGAAAGCTACATAAATATGTAACGTCCTAAATTTAACATAATTCATGTTAAATTCAATTCTGAGCAAATGATGACAACTCTAGTTAAAATGTGGTTATATTTATTTTATGAATAGAGCCAATTTAAAACACCTATTAAAGTCTTCTCGAGAACCTTTTATAGAATGCATCTGGGAGCCTATGTTATCATAAGTATTTCAGGGTTTGTCTTCTTGGAAATGCATGTAACTGAAGTACAGCATATTATTTCAAATATACAGAATATTGGATTACAGTTTACTATATTTTCAAAAGATTGTGGCAGCTTTTAGACTTACATAGAATGGCTACTCTCTGCCATTAATAAATTTTTAAAGTGAATAATTGCTGAGGGATGAGGATAGATTTCTTAGCTAATGCTGCATGATTTTGTTTTATTCCATACAATATGTATACAAAGAAGAACCTGTAGAGTTTTATAATGTGGGTAGTTTTAAAGAAGTAGTTAAAATAAAGTTTAAGTGAAGGTTTAATGCATTGTTTATTTCTCAGTGAACATTTATTGCCTGAAGGTTTTGGACATTTTATTTCTGTACAATGCAGTGGAAACTTTAAAAAAAAACTGACTGGTTGTTTTGCTGCTGTTTTTCTAGAAGAGTGTAGCTGAGAACAGGATTCTGCCTCTCACAGAGGTTGGCATGCATTTGTTACAAGCGGTGAAAGCTGGCTACCCACTCGATATGGAGCGAGCAGGCTTGACTCCAGAGGTTCAGAAGATTATTACTGATGTTATCCGAAACCCTCCCATCAACTCAGGTGATAACCATGACCCTAGTCTGCAGCCTTAATGACTTGAGTCATTGCACCCAGATGAAGTAAACAAGCAATCCACTAATATTTTTCACTTTAACATCAATCTTTTATGCTACTATAAAAACTTTACTTTTGTAATGCTTTTTGTGTTTTAGAAAAACAATCTTTCCTCCCATTATCACTCAGAGGAATGTTTGAGTCTGAGAAGTTCTCGTTTCTCTTTTCAGCTTCAGATTACAACTTAAACACTCATCGCAAAGCAGTATACTTCATCCTTTTCTAATTTCTACCCCGTCACTTGGAAAAAAAACACAGTTTGTTCCATATTCATTTCCCAAAATTTATTGACTCCTGATTTTTCCCGAAATCTTTCTGATTCCTTGTTTTTGGTTTCACTTACATAGCCTTTCTAATCCTTATAGTTAGTGGCATGTGTCACTGTGGCGTTGAAAGTAGGCCAAGCTGTCTGAGCTCCTTGTAGAAGGGTTTCTTCTTCTTGTCACTTTGCTGCAGAACCTCAGCTGTGCTCGTGGAGATCAAGCCCCTTTGCTTGCCCTGCAGAAAATTTTTTAATATTCCTATTTTAAAATTATGATCCATTTTATAGAAGTAAAGGATGAGGTATATTAGAGGATTTTTCCTCCTAGATGGACAAATCTAGGTATGTTATATTACTCAATAAATCTGATAAATGTTTTCAGACTGTAAAGACAGAGCAGTGGACAAAGAAAAAACCTTATCTACAAAGCTGCAGTGCAAATAATTAAATTTTTTATTACCTCGAATTCTTTTCCGCTTCCTGGGAACAACTGTATGATTCCCCATCAAAATTTGGAAATAAGGGCAATAAAATCACCCTTTGAAAGCACAATCAATACTGTACTTAACTGATCACAATAAAGATAATTCAAGCCACCTTAATAGCCAGCCTTAATTCTTTAATCGAGGCAAAACTTGATTAAAGATCTGAAGAAAGAAGATCTCCATCACTTCCATGGATAAACCATGGAAGCACAGGAAAAGAGGAGACACAGAGGGAAGTCTGGGCAGGGGTCATGTAAGTTAATTCCAGGGAACTAAAGTTTTTCTTTTTACTATGCTAAAGTTGTACTGCCAACTATTTAAAAGGAAGAAATATGCAATTTTTAATCCTGGCCAATGAGACTTCAAGTATATTAAGGGCCCGTTGATAAGTTATGTTAAGAACTTATTTGAGGAAAACATGTTAACAACAAATTCTTCTCTGTCACTTCTTAGCTTTCTGGTTATCATTTGATTTCCAATGTAGATCTGTCTATAGGGAAAGTATGCACTATTCATGCTGATCTGGGTACTAATCTATATGATAATTGTGAATTCATAATTGTAAATTAAAAATTGGCATTTTGTGAATTTGGTTAATGTGAATCTATTAAGGTTAAATTAGATTTCCAAATCTGAAAATCCAAGGACCAAATCCTGGACTGGGATAAAATATCCAAGTTAAGTGAGTCATCTGATGAGAAAGCTAGCCAGCTCTCCTGGTCACATTCCAGTCTTTCCAACTTCAGCAGCCATTTTACTAGAAATTAAAGCAGATGAAGGAAAATCCTTTGTAGAATTAGAATTGTGGTTATATAAAACCCCTCTTTCTCCAGTGCAAAATGAAATAGTCAAAGATTCATATGCCTTCTTGACCATAATCCCCTGGAATTATTTTTTCTTTTATATATGTATTGTCTCTCAGAACTCAGAGAAATGTGTGTCTTTGATGAACTATTGGATGGTAGGCAGTATTCTGAGTCTGTGCAGTGTATTTCCTATTGACAATCATGTTCGCTACCATTTGGCTGCCTTCACTCTTGAAGACCAATGGATGGTGTTAGCCTAGTCAGTAAGAGCAAAGGCTGTGGTCATAGCTGATCTGTTTCCGATGTTGGCTCTACCATTTCTGAGCTACGTTACCTTGGGGAAATTCCTACTTTTCCTAAGCCTCAGTTTCCTCCTCTCTAAAACAGGAAGGGATAATATTGCCTTTCTTATTACAGAATTGTGAGAAATAATTAGATACTTTACAGAATGCTCTGGCACTTGGTAAATACAGTCAGCCCTTTGGATCCTTGGGTTTACATCTGCAGATTCAACCAACCACACATCAAAAATATTCAGAAGAAAAATTCCAGAAAGTTGATATCCAAACAGTACAGTATAACAGCAATTTACATAGCATTTACATTGTATTAATTATTGCAAATAATCTGGAGATGGTTTAAAGTATATAGGAGGGTGTATGTAGGTTATATGAAAATTCTACGTCATTTTATATAAGGGACTTGAGTATGGGGTCCTGGAACCAGTCTTCCAGGATACCAGGAACAACTGTATTTCGTAAATGGCAGTGATGGCAGTGATAGTGAATATGATGATGATGATTGAAGAAGTAGGTGGTAAGATCCTATGGCTTCTTAAATATATACTCCCTTAATGTGATTATTTTTATACTCTATCCTTTTTAGGAGCTAAATCAGAAAATGTGAAGTTCACAAATGAGTATACCAGAGGGGAGGTTTCAAAACTGTATTTTATAGAAACAACTTCAGTAATTCAGACAGGTTATCTCTTTTTTCCCCAAGTACTGAAGAATTCTTGGGCAAATATTCTTGAATGATATCAAATGGATGTTCTACTCTTAATTCATTATTGGCAGGAGAAAATGGTAGAGGAAGGTTTAAGATTCTGTTATTAAGCCAAGTATTGACAACACTTCTTTTATTTTGCTATGGCGAAGAATCGAGGCGGTGCTAATTTGCTTTCTAAGTCATGTAGTTGTAAAGTTATAGAATTTTAAATCTGGAAAGGAAATTGGAAATCATTATATTTTCATTTTCCTATTCTCACCCTGTTTCAGAGACAGGAATCTGAGGCCTAGAGAATCGCAGATTGTTTTAATACCAAGTCAAGGTTGATGATGGAACAAGTTTTTTTTTACTGTACTATGTTAAAGTTGTACTGCCAACTATTTAAAAGAAAGAACTATGTAATTTCTAATCTTTATAGAGCAGTGGTCCCCACCTTTTTTGGCACCAGGGACCAGTAATATTATTATTACTTTGAGAATCTAATGCCTGATGATCTGAGGTGGAACTGAGGTGGTGATGCTGGTGCTGGGAAGCGGCTGCAAATACAGATGAAGCTTCGCTCCCTGGCCCACCTCCTGCTCTGTGCCCTGGTTCCTAACAGGCCACAGACTGGTCCGTGGCCTAGGGGTTGGGGACCCCTGTAGAGGATTTGGGTTTACAAACCTCTAATTGATGAGTAAAATAAAGGTATTTAATTATGTTCAGTTTAATACCTTTACAAATATTCTCAATTATATTTAGTATATTCTGAGTTTAGCAATTTCAGTTTCTGATGTTATAACTTTTTAAATTAAGAAATATCAAGCAGAATATATAACGTGAAAAATCTCTATTTGTAATTGCACAGCCTGATTCAATAAATATCAGGGAGATGAGAAAAACATTTGTAATCATTAGTGACTAAAACGTGCATCTTTACCACTGTATACTTATTGCAGATAAATTTTCATTCAAAGATAAATATTAATTGAAGTTAAACACTGATTTCATCTTTCTGTCAACATACTGTATGTAGATGGTACTTATAATTTGAAAAAGTGTATTGTTGTGATTTACTTCCAGAGCCAAAACTGAGAAAGTTTCGATTGTGAGAACCATGAGCTCTAAATTTTATTTTGTTCGATTATACGCGTATAATGTATAAGATAAAATTTATTGATGTTAAATTTTACTTTGAATTCTTGTTTTTCCTTGATAACAACTATTGGAGAAAATGTTGTTATAAATTGTAGTAAGAAATGAAGGTGTACATACTATATTAATGATTCAGATATATTATTTTCATTTTTTATTTAACTGTAGCTCTATCACATAATTGTGTTTTAATGAATGTTTGATTGACATTTAAATTTTGCACAATCCTGAGTTGAGAATTTTCTGTATTTTATTATGGCATAACAATATACCTAAAAATAGAATTTTTGTGAATTGAGATATTATACCTATTATTTTCATACTGTCTTATTTGCTAAGTAGATTTTGTCCTTGAAACAGTATTTAAAGGGATTCTGTACCTTTTATTTTTAGTTTAATCAGATTTTTATAATTTTAAACTTCTTTTATGGAATTGAGATTTTAACTATGCTTAATAATAAATTAAGCAAGGCATTTAATGAGGTGCCTGGATAATATTTTGAACAATTTCATTTCCCATTGTTTATGTGCATGTGCCTGGAAAATTAAGGATGGCTTCCAAGGGACCTGCCAGAAAAGTAGGGGTAATATGATCTCTTTTAAAGTACTGAAGGAGTGCAGCCAGTGTTCATTGTATTATTCTCCAATAGATATTTTCAGCATTTACCTGCGTGGAAAATTAGGGCAGAATAATACGTATCTATAAAGCCAGGTGCTACTTATTTGCATATATATATTATAAGATGACTTATATTTGCATATATATATTATAGGATGATTTTAAAGTAAAAATATAAAGAGTACTTATAGAAATGTATAAGTAAATATATAATAAATTTTCTAATTTTACCTTGACATATTCAATTTACAGTACATTTATTAAATCATTAATAGTGGTTTAAAACCATAGACAAATGTTTATACATTATAATTTTGTGAAAAGAAGACATTCTAATTTTAGAAATAAATTGTTTCAAATAGAATAAAATATTTTTACATTTCAAAATAATTCATTTAGCTAATGGTATTATGATAAGACAAGATTGTGTGGATAGTTCCCAAAAAATAGGTTTCTGAATTTTACTTTTACAGTATGATGAAACTAAAGATGTATAGTTTGTTTATCCAGCATTTAAATACCCACGGAAGAAAGTGAACTTAATATAAATATATTTGTATTAGTTGGCTAGAGTATGGAAAGATTTGTGTGGTTTCTGTAGAGTTAGCACTATCCAGAAAGAAATACAATATAAGCCACATATGCAATTTAAAATTTTCTAGTAGCCACATTTAAGAAGCAAAAATAAACAAATGTAATTTTAATTATCTAATTTAATTAATGCAATATATTAAGTGTTATTTCAACAAAAATGAATATGAAAATTATTACTAAGATATTAATGAGTTTTTTTGTACTAAGCCTTTGAAATAGGTTATATATTTTGCATTTATAGCACATCTCAATGTTGATGCTAAATTTTAATTTGAAATACTTGATCTGTATTTAGCTTTCGTAAAATTTACAGTTAAATAAAGTAGATGAAGATACCCAGTTTGTTTCAAACATACTTAAAATTTTTCTGATAACTGAATCAAGTGTCAGTTTTTAAATTTAATTTAAAATTAATTAAAATTACTTAAAATTAAGAATTGAGTTTCTTAGCCATATTAGCCACATTTCAAGTGCTCAATAGCTACATGTGGCTAGTGGTTATTGTATCAGACAACACAGATATAGAAGTATTTAGCAATATTCATCAAAATATAAAATGTGTCTAACCTTTGAACAAGCAATCCCACTTCTGGGAATCTAGAATTATGGAAAGATACATGTAATATAATTTTCATCAGAACTTTTTTTTCCCCAAAGAAAAACCAAAGACAAATGAAAAGTAACTCAAAGTAAATTATGATAGATATATACAAAGGAAGACTCCTTAGTTAAAAATGATACAGTAGTAAAATTGGTGGAATTTCAATGTTAGGGTATAATGACCAAGGGACAAATAAAAGTTTAGTTTGGTTGATAGATATGATAGTCACATTGCTGATTTTATTACATTTAGAGGTAATCTTATCTTTCCAAGGTTTTGATTAGCATCAGTTTTACATTTTAAAACTTTAAAATTAGAAAGAGTACAAGCCCAATAATTAGATAGCTTACTGTCCTAATATCGATAAGCTATGTTACCTTCTCTTTCTGTGTGTTTTTTTTTAACTGCACTTTTTTTTTTTTTTTTGGTGGTCCTGGAGTAATCTAAAGATTACCTTTTCAGAGTGTCATTTTAAAATACTTAGTTTCTGATCGTTAATTTGAATTTGGTGTCAGAAATGTTTGATACCATAAGTTACGTGAAGATGAGTGAATAGGTTCTAAGCTGCTTTAAATAATTGATGTGTTTTATTACATTACACTATCCATTGCAAGTATACTTTTTATTGGCATTTTATTTACAAGTATGATTAGCTTCTAAGAATAAGTTATATTCAAAAAGTTAACTTGTAATTGATACTTGGAATTTGAAGCATATATGATTTCTTTGGAAACAACTCTGGGAATTGTAGCTTTGATTCTCAGGGCTGCCTACAAAAGACAGTTAGTTTTAAACATAATTTATGCAGAGTCGATGGCACTGACCTGATTTTGGTGTTTTTGGCAGAGGGTGCAGGTGGTGCCGGAGTGAGGGACACATTTTACTCCATTTTTGTTCTGTAGCGCTATTGGCATTTGAAAGAGGAACATTTTCTTTGACCACCTACCTCTTTTTTTTTCTGCAAAGTTTTACACTATTTCCAGCTCATAGATTTTCTAAAATGTTCTGTTATTTATTTTTAAATCTTATATTTTTATCTTTTACAGAATTGAATAAAATTAAACTAATTAGAATGTTCGTTCCTGAAAACATTGACACGTACCTCATCTCTATGGCAATTGAGATCCTGGAAAAAGATTGTGACAACAGACTGTTATGCCAGCCTTCATGTGATTCCAACAAAAAGAGATGTTTCCCCAACTCTGAAGAGAGCTGTTCAAGTTCTAAGAGAAGCAAGGAAAAAGTAGGTCCTAATACCAAGTTGTTAATTATATGTAGAATATTCATAAAGTGTCAGTTCAATTTGCATATTCTAATACTAGAATACTGTATTTTTTTCACTGTCATAAGTTAATATAGCCCAGAAATTCTTTCTTTTATAGACATAATTAATACTGGTTTTAAGCATATAGCAGTTTATGTGATTAATGAAAATGAAAACGAATTATTTTATAAATACCTCTCAAACTGGGTTATCTGTCATTCTGTCATTCATCATACTCTGTTGCTATAATATTGAATATCTCGGGTACAAGGATAATTGTTGCTCATGGTCCTGAGCATATTGTACTGCACTTTTGCAAGATCAGAGAAGGACCATGAATTTAGAGTTATTTTAGATGGTACATTTCTTATTTTAAAATTTTCGTTTATTTCAGGAAACTTCTCTTAAACTTTACTTTTTATTTCTAATTCTTTCTTGAGCTTTTCCACTTAGTTTTGAGTTTTTCTGATTTTGATTTATGACATTCTATCATGTTTTGAATCATTTTCATCATGTTTTTCAATCTTAGTTCATTTTCAGAGGTTATCGTTTTATTCTTTATCTTAGCAAGTCTTTCTGGTGTCTGGGATTCGACCTTGATACTTTTCTAAACTGGCTCATTTTCATGTGAAATTAGTTTTTCTGCACTTTCAGCATAGTTTTTACAAGTTCACAGAGCTCACTTTTCTGTTATTTTTGTGTAATGTTCAAAATATGGAAACTTGGTTTATGAGATAGACTCCTCTGCCACTTTTACCTGGATTTTCTCTTCCCTTAATCTTTGTTATACCTGTCCTGCTTGATTTTGATTTAACCCTAGCAGTTCTTCTGAGTGTGGGGCCTTCTCTTGGAAAGCAGCATTAGCTACTCAGGCGAGTTCAAAAGAGCGAGCTGCTCTAGGCACTTAAGGCACTACTGTGAACTCCTTTTAGTCCCATGCTATTGAGTTGGGCAAAAACCCTTCCACTTTCAGATGCTGTTCTCTAATTAATCGATCATGCTTACCAGTGTATACCTGTGAGCTCTTTGGTGGTTCGCCTGTTCTCAGGCACCCCACTGCTGGCCTCTGCTTTCTCCTATGCAGATGCTATACCGTGTGGGTCTTATGGCTGTTGGTGGTTTGTCCTTACTTTTAGTTTTGGTTTCTTGAGGATACTTTCATTGTAAATATAGATGATGAATTTTCGCTTTTTCTATCTAGTTCTATCTGTTTTAATGCTAGGATTCAGATAAATTAAAAAACTATGCTGCTGCTTCCACCATCTTCCTAGAAACCTCTCCTTCATATCACGTTTTTCCTTCTTATTCTTCTTGACTACCTGAGAGAGTGTGCAATATTTCTTGTCCTGCCACTGAGTTTAATTATAAATTAAAATATAGTATGTTATTTACAAACAATTTTAAGATACTCAGAAAGAAATGCCTATGAGTAATATTATTAAAATCATTGTTAAAATTCAGTACTTCAGAATAATTAAAATTTTCTTAAGTTTTGCTTTTTTAGGCATAGTTTTTTTTCTAAGAAAATAGTACATGTTAAAGATTGATGGAAAACGTCCTTGTGATTTTTTTGCTGAAGGATGAGAGTCACGGAAATTCACGGATGACTTCTTGGAATCAGCTATCCAGTGATCCAGAAATAGAATATTTATCTACAGATTCTCATTTACAGGTAAAACTGATTTAATAAAACAGTTTTCATGACAAATACATCAGGCTTGATAACTAAAATGTTTAGCTTTATTTTTGTTTTAGATGAAATTAAATGTGAATATAATGTACCCATTTCTCTATTTGCTCACATATATATGTGCATATATAATCAGCAAACAAATTAATGTTTTTTGTGCTCATCTTAATAGTTCGTTAATAGAACTTGGAGTATCAGAAAGATGTAAATATCCCCTTATAATGTTATTATGATTGCTGAAAATTTTAGTCTTCTACTGATGAAGGCAGTCGTCTCTGACAAGCATTGTTTCTGTCAGGTGACCCAGACTTCGTAACTAAAGTCTCTCCAGATACTTATTCTTGAGATTCAAAAGATACATTCAGTGTAAATAAGCATTTTCTCCCTTTCTCAGTGACATAAAGTCATTATTATAATTATAGGAAAAATGCTGAGGGTCATATTCTATAGAATGTTGTAGAAGATGAGACTTTAAATGATATTAGCTACCAATTAATGAGTGTCACGGATAAATCAGTGTGTTTTGATATTTTGCATATGTTCTCATTTAACTCTTCAAACTTAGTAATGTTATATACTGTGATTCTCATTTTCTCTGTGAAGAAATTGAGGCTTAAATAACATTCATAAGGTCATATATGTAGCAAGTGGCTCAATTAGAGCTCAAACCTAGTTCTGTCTGGTTTCAAAGTCCCTGCTTATTCCACAGTATTGGGCTATAACAAAAGACATGGTTTTTTCCTCTGCCCTCCTACTATTCAGATTTCATGCTCTGTTTTACTTTTTGCCTTTGTTATAATCTTAACTGGTTTCCTTCCTCCAAATGCACAAGGGGTTCCAATTCTAATTGTTAAGCAGCTGTAGTTGTCTGTGGCTACAGGGGATTTTGATCTTGAGATCTTTTGGGAAGAATAAATATTTCTGGCCAATTTTTCCTCTATCCAGATATCTTTTCTGTGCCACTTTATATCCTTAATCTTTATTATTTCTAAGGCAAACGTTACAGTATTGTACAGTGAATATAAATCTAATCTCTTCTGGTGTTCTTTTGCCTGTGAGGAAATAGGCACTTGGGAGAAAATTTGCTATCTTAGCCACTTCTTTTTTTAGCTTTTGCTGAAGTCTGAATAGTCTTTTCTTCTACACTAGATTTCTTTAATTAAGCTGGAACAGCTAACAATTTTTTCTTCTTTTTTAATATATGTTTACACAGTTTTCTACCAAAGATGTTTTACCTTTTTCCCTATCCTTAAATATTCTGAAACCATTTTTAAATATAGAAAACATAATAAAATATAGCAAGCAATTAATGAACAACATATAGATATAGTCTTCATTTTTGAAATGGAATAAATTATACTTTTATACCTTAGGCTGGCAGATACACTATAACTTAGATGAGGTCCCCTTATCATATACAGTCCTTCAAATAATTCCAATAACTAAATTAGCTCTACTGGATTCTAAAGTTTTTTTCTCTGTCGTGTTAGTTTGAAGATCTAGTGCTCAAACTGAGATAACACTAGCCAATATCATTTTAGGCTTATGGAACACTTACCTACTTAATAATGTCTACTATTGTAGATGTAGAAGTTATATGCTTTTCCAGATGCTTAATATAACTCTGTGTGTGCACGCGTGTGTGTGCATCAGTGTGCACATACTCTGTGTGTGCATGCGTGTGTGTGCATCAGTGTGCACACACATGCCCAGTCACATACCTTCCTCAGAACATTAAATTCACTATTTTATTCAACTCAGAGCAAATACACCATGGAACATAGATCTGAAATAATATCTATTTCTTTTCTTCCCCAGTGAGTGTCTACTCTGAAGTGTCTAAAAATACATAACAGGATGGCAAGTAAATTGCCTAAAGATATGATACAGTGATTTTTGTATCTTTTTTATTTATTTACTTGTTGATCTAGAAATAAGTTTTGTGGATCTCACTGTTTTGTTTTATTTGGGGAGTATATATTCAGTAATCTATGTTGGTTTTTTATAATTGACACACATTTTCAGCAGTACAAATATTTCCTCTTCTGTTTCTTATAGACTTCATCTGAAACCTCAAAAAGAAATTTACCTGCGTGGTTTGCCAAAAGAAATGAGATCGTAGCTGATACCAGCAAGAAATCAATGGTCAAAACAAAAAAGAAGGGTCTTTTTAGTTAGGCTGGCAGTTGCCAAAAGAATTACGTTCATCTTCCTGTATTATAAGAGGGATGCTGTATTTTCTTTCTGAAAAGAGTGAGGGGTAATATTTCAATTTAAAAATTATTCTAATCTCAAAGTACAAGTTATCTCTATATTAAATAGCTGGCATCTTAATACAGCCCTGTGCAATTCACATAAAGTTGAGTCTTTTGAGAACCTGAGTGAGTATGTCATAGAACAGAATTTTGAATTAGTTTTCTTTAAGATTGCTTTAAGAAACTGTAACTGCCCTATTTTCTAATCTCTATTTCAACAGTATATTTGGAAAATGTAACATATGGTGATATGATATAGATAACAGATTAGTAGTTGTGTGGTGACTGTGTGTGATATAAAATATTCCAATATTATAAAAATTCTCTTGTAAATGAAGAAAGCATAGTTATTGTATACCTTGTATTTACTATGTTTAGAAGAAGCTGTTATGCACATTGTTAAATGTTAGTGGACCAGACCAGTGAAAATGAAACATTTTGAGTTTCGTATGAGCAGGGAAAGAATATAACAAAGGAGACCATTTGCACCAGGCAAGTATGCACTTATTATTTTACACACTATTTGTTATTTTTCAAATAATGGAAAAACAATGTCCTTCATACTGACTATTATGTATATTTTTAACTTTCATTTACTTAATTACCTTGAACACTTTTATTTTTTTTAGGCTGTCAGAATTTGATTCTAAAATCTCTTTGTATAGCACATATAACTTAAATATCTAAAACCTGTACTCTGACACTGCATTGAGTAAACCATAGTTGATATAACTTTAAGCAGTTTACCATATAGCCTTTAATTAACTTTTGTTTTGGTAAATAAAAGTAACTTGTTTTAAAGAAGAAATGCATGTTTGTTGTGGTTTGCCAAATGAAATCTTAGCTGATATCAGCAAGAAATCAATGGCCAAAACAAAAAAGAAGACTTTTTAGTTAAGCTTGCAATTGCCAGAAGAATTACATTTGTGTAGAAAATCCAGAGAAGTGAAAAAAGAAAATAAAAATTGCCAGTAGTTCTACCAGTAGATAATCAGTCAACCTCTTTTGTGTATCCTGCCAAAACTTTTTATATTCACTTATTTTCTTAGTTTGTTACATGGATAATACATGAATGGATTTTCTTTGTAAAACTTTTAAGCTATGCTTAAAACACGAAAGTCTCCGTATTCTTATTTCCTCACAGCCCATTACCAGCCCTACCAGAAAGTAATTCCTATTATATATTTGACATATGACTCTCTAGTCATTTCTTTTGCACCTACATGCCTTGCATGTGTATCTACACATACACTGTTATTTTTTTTTAACACAAGTGAGATCATGCCGTATGCAGTTTTCTGCAAGAAACTGTTTTACTTAATATGTCATGAAGACCTTTCCATGTTAATATATATTGGTTTATCTCATTTTTTTTTTACAGCTAATAACTATTCTGTTGTATACTATAATTTATATAATCATTTTTCTATTGATGATTTTGTCATTTTTCTCTACTTTCTAGAAATAGAATTAGAGAGTCAAACATAAACATGTTGTTACTTATATTTCATTTGAATATATTTTGAACATTACTGTCATTAAATAGCCTTCCACAGAATCTTGTTTTGTGGCTTTATGTAGTACAGTGATTCTCAGATTGTGGTCTGCAGACCGTTAGGAGTCCCTAAGGCCCTTTCAGGGGATTTACAAATACAAAACTATTTTTGTAATACCGAGACGTTATTTGCCTTTTGCAGTATGTCGTTATTTGCAATGGAGTACAAAGCGATAGTGAGTAAAACCAGTGGGACTTTAGTGCAAGTCAGGGCATTGGCACCAAATTATTGGCACACAAATTCTGTGTGACAAAATGGCAAGTACTCATAAAGCACTTCTGCTACCAAAATCTGATGGTCATCTTCAGGGAAAGCACTCCTTTGATTTTTGAATTAATTAGTTGCTTTTTTCCCATGGAATGCCATTTTTACTGAAAAGGATGACGGATAGAAAATTATGATTGATTATTCAGACTTGGGTGTTTGGTGGACATTGTCTCAAAACTGAACAAAGTCAGCATCTTGCTTCAAGGAAAACTGATGATTATTTGTTGCCAGTGATAAAATTTGAGATTTCGAGCAAAATTTATAATTTTGGAAAACTTGTTTCTGCTACTAGGAGTTTGAAAGCTTCCCATAAAACAGACTTTTCTAATGAGATGGGTAGGGTTGTTTATTCATTTATTTTTTACATTATATAATGATTTTTGTCAACATTTAGAAGGTCTGCATAACAGTGAACCAATATTTTGTAAATAATTAATACCTGATCTTATAAAATCATGCATGGGTAAAATTTATATGGTTTCCAATTACACATTGCAGAAAATCTTTAAGAAACTAATACTTGTCCTGTTTGGGTATAGTTTCAAAGAATGTCTACTGTTATCTGGAAAGGCTATTAAAATCCTCCCTTTTCCAACTACATATCTGTTTGAGGTCAAACTTCTTTCATATACTTCAGCCAAAACAGCATATTGAAACAGATTTAACGAAGAAGCAGATCTGAGAATCCAGTTACTTCTGTTAAACCAGACAACAATGCCACTTTTTTTCATGTTGGGTGGATTTTTCAGAAAACTGTGTTAACATGTAATGGATTTACTGCTGCTGTTAAACAAATTAATACATAGTTCAAAAACTTTCTCAGTTTCAATTTCTAAAAATGGTAAATAGTGGTAGCTATAACCTACATTAACAAAAGCTCTTTTGGGTCCTCAGTAATTTTTAAGAATATTAAAGCGTTCTGAGATGAGCAGGTTGAGAGCTGCTGATATAGTATTTTATCATATAGACATACTATGAATCATTTAACTGATTTCATATTGTTGGACATTGAAGTTGCTTCCAGTTTTTCTATTTTAAGCACAGTTTTGAACATTCTTCAAATGAAATAAGGTATAGTCTCATCTCAAATACAAACCCAGAGGGAGAGATATAATTTTTGTTGTTGTTGTTCATATAGTGGATTTTATGACTGCCCAGTGTACATGGCTCTTGATATCTGCTTAGGTTGTTTCAGAGAGTATAATTCTAACCTAGATATGGGCTTGGTCCCTATGACCTCCTCTAAGCTAGTCTTTGGCAATAGTATTTGGATCTGGGGTAGGAATGTGACCTAAGCTGTTTCAATCAGAGTGAATCTCAGGACTTTTTATAGAAATGTGGAAACAAATAGGTTCTCTTTTCCGTTGCTCTTACTAATGAGGAAGCATGAACCTTTGGAGTGTCGGAGCAATTTTAGGACCATGAGGAATCATCCTTGATTGAAGCTGACACTGAGGTAGGTAGAGTAGAAACATGGCACAAAAATCAGGTTGCTGGTGATATACCTGGGCTACTAGTTCATGCCCTTTCTGGAGTCAGACATATTTTTAAATATCTTAGATACATAGGGCATTAAATTCTCTTGGGTTAAGCCTGTTTGAGGGTATTTGTTTATTTTTAACTTCCAGTTGTGTACGTTTGTCACAATAGCATAGCCATGTGATTGATAGACTCTCCAACAGACACACAAGATATAGTTTCTTTAATGGCAAAGGATATAGAACCTTATAGACAATTCCACAAAGTAGAAGACAAAGCAGCATGCTCTCGGGCAGAGGTATAGGCTTCCTAGATCTCCAAGTTCTCCATTTTCCATGAGTTCCCTCTGAAGATTTTATATTCTCCCCTCTCCCTGCAGCCCCTCCCCACTCGCTACCACCAGAGTATGTTTTGGAAACTCTTCTATGTGTACCTGCCTGATCACCTGGGTGCAAATTACTGGTACATAATGATCACAGCAAATTATAGGGTATTTATTATAGGAATAGATGAACTGAACATAATTTCCTGGGTATAGCATCACTCTTCAGCAGTCTCTGGGCTCAAGTCTGCCTATCTCAGGTTCATTCTTGAAAACAAGGGATTTCTTTTAGGGTATTATTCTTATGCTATCTCTTCCAAAAGGTATTAATTACTTTCTCTTCTCTGTTGACATTGGACCATAGAACTATGACAGCAGAGTCAGGCAAATCTCTGACAGTTATTTAGAATTCAGCAAAGCTGTGTTCCTACCATATGGTTAGATTAAGAAAAGAAGATTCTTCCTATTTAAAGAGGTTGTAATAGAAATAACTAAAAACATGAAAGATCCAGTGGAATGACAATAGAGTCATTTTAGAGCTAAAAAGGCATTTATCTAATGGGAAGCAATTCGAAACCAGCAAAAACTCTGAGGAAACTTAGCGACATTCTTGATGGGAGACGCATACTTCAGCAATCTCAGCTATCTGAGCAGGCATTTCTATAACTTAGCTTGGGAAGGCAATTCAGAAATCATTGGGGATAACGTACTGAGTAAATGTGTTTAAACCTTGGGGAAAAATAGAAATAAATAGATTGGAGTAAATTAAACCTTTAGTAGTAATATTTTAGGGTTAAGGAATAATAAGTACATATTTGATATTGTAGACATTTGTAATACTTGAGATAATTTATTTTAGTAACAGATTACTCTTGTAACTCTAAAATGTACCATTGAAAAATTAGTATATCCTTGAGATTTTTAAGTTGAAATCTACCAAGTTTGAAACATTATTGGAACATTTAATAGGATTTTAAAAATTTGTTATTATTGGATAGAAATTATATCAACAAATTTCACTTTCTAGAGAATGAAAAAAGATCTAATGGTATAGTTACTATTAAGACTAAGGTTAATATCGATTCATTAAACACAGCTTTATTTTTTCAAAAAAATTAATATGACTTCAGCTTTCATTTGCTAACTCAATTTAAAAATATTATTGAGAAGTATGTAGTCATTTATATCTTCATTCAATAAACATTTGCATTTGTAGTAGATTGGCCTCATGAAAAATGAGACAAATAGGAGAAGAAAATGTAACAGATTTACTCTGCGAAGAACTCAGAAAAATATTTCACAAAAGTATTTTCCTACAGAAACAAAACATTTTAAGGAAAATATTTACTTCACATGCTGAATAAGATAAAGAAAAAATGGCCTCTGTGAATGAAAAAAATCATATGAAGGAATCATAATAGTAATTATAACTAAAATTTATTAAGCATTTGCTATGTGTCATACTTGTGCAGCTAGCCTTCAGTACAACCTGAAGAGTTAGAGTCATGTATTTGCCTATTTGTGTAAACAGAGCGTATGAGTGGGAAAAGAGATCACTTGGCCCCGCAAAGAACCGAGGAAAAACTGAACAGATAGATAGACCTGAGCAGGGAGAACTCTATTATACCTTAGGGATGTGGGGTGGGGAAGGGGCTTATCCTGGTGCATTGACAGAGATCTGGTGACACCTCCTGCTAGACCCCTTAGCAGCTAAGCCCTTGGTTCCAAGGGGACATGCTCACCTGAAGGCCATACCTGTCCTCCTTTTCTAGACCATGCTTTTAGTTCATAGGACCCCAGAATGCCTGGCCCAAATATTCCTAAGTCTCCAGGGGCCTCTGGTGTGCTCATTTCTTGGCCTGAATGGCTATTTAGGAGAGTTATGGACAAAGTTTAGCTGTCCAGGCTGTGGTCATCTGTATGCACAGGAGGTTGTTTGTGGTGCAGAACAGAGCCAGGGACAAAAGGAGTGGCTTGTGTCCATGAGCTGATTCTGCCTGCACTAACAGAACAGTTTCCATTCATAACAACCTCTGGACATTGGTAGGTTAGCCATGCATTCAGTAAAGTCCTAGCTCTGCCATTTACTAGTCATGTGACTTTGGACAAACTGCTGAGGCACTCCCAGCGTCATTTAAACACCTTGTAATGTGAAGAGATATTGCTGGGATTAAACACAATGCATATAGACCATTTAACAACGGTTGGCATGCATAGACGGTATTCAACCAGAAGTAGCTGTAGAAATTTCTAACAGAAAAGGCACAGAATCTGGCTAGTGCCCAGAGGGAGGCAGTCTGTTTCTCTAGACATTACTTGTTGGCACTACTTGGTGAAATCGTCGTGGTCCAGCAGGCACCAC